GAGGGGCGTAAAAATCATGGCGCTCGAGCAAACATAGATTAAAAGGGCGCTGGAATGGGCGTGGTGAATGGTAAAATGAAACGCAGTTCGATTATAATGGTGAAAAGATAACTAAATTAAACCTTGCTTACTACCATCATTAATACGTTTATTTCTTTTTTCTACGGATAGGATCGCTTTCAATTAAATTTAAATACAACTTCCATGTCAAATATTGTAGGATTTATTTAAGAGTTCCACATGTTTCTGAAGAGTTTGATCGCACGCACAGACAACTGGATGCATGGGAGCAATTAAGGAGGTATAGTCTTCTGTAAGCTCAGGAGTATTGCACTCACAACGCAGGCCCGTTGAATAAATATTCATTGAAGCTAATTATTTCATTTGTGATGAAGACAATCGACGATGAATACTGTTGTTATCGTGAATACATTCAATGATTCTATTGTTATCATAATTGATTCAAATTCGGGCAACAATAACTGCTATTCTCACAGTTTAATTACTAGTATTATATTTTATAAATATATTTCGATACAAGAACCCGGATGATAAATTAATGAAGAATAAATTATTCTCGAGATCACTCATTGCATCAACCATGTCTAAAATTGCATGCATTAAGCCTACGATACAGGATATCTGCATAATAATCATCGAACACACAAGTAAAGATCTTATTAGGCTAAAATTTAAACGATCAACAGCTTGTGCGTACTGACCTTATGTTCCATGAAGGATAGCGGTGATCGTTGTTGATGATCCTCTCCGATGCCCGAAAATTTGAGTCGCAGCTGTCCAGTTCAACGGGCTGGTAGTTGGTCAGGTCCAGATCTGGGATCCAGAACCAGCTGCCCAGTTCAACGAGCTGGTCGTTGGTCAGGTCCAGATCAGGGATCCAGAACCAGCTGTCCAGTTCAACTGGCTGGTCGTTGGTCAGGTTCAGATAAAGTTAGATGAACGCAGTTCGATGGATCGTTGCGGACGTTAACTTAGCAGAAATATATTTTTTCTTGGTTTCACGTCTCATATATGAACAGTATTTTTTCTATAGCGACGAAGGATGATGAGACGGGCACGAGTGATGAGACTAGCGTAAAAATGTCAACGATTTTGTTATACTTAATTTATCTTAATGCAATAATTACTCGATCCCAACACAATTATATCGTATTCAAGAGCCACCTGTCCAAAGAGCCATCTGTTCAAAGAGCCATCTGTTCAAAGAGCAACCTGTTCAAAGAGCCATCTGTTCAAAGAGCAACCTGTTCAAAGAGCCACCTGTTCAAAGAGCCACCTGTTCAAAGAGCATGCCTGTTCAAAGAGCCATCTGTTCAAAGAGCCACCTGTTCAAAGAGCCACCTGTTCAAAGAGTCACCTGTTCAAAGAGCCACCTGTTCAAAGGTTTTTTTACATGTTGCCTTGTACCATGTAAAGTGGCTGGCTATACTGTACCATGTATGCCTTGTATCATGATAGCCATGAAGGAACATGTAAATTGTACACAGAAGAACACCAACAGGATACATTTACATGCTTAAAATATTGATCAAAAGATATATATCGACAACTAAACACTATGATTCCAATCCACCGTGAATACTACAGAACGTCCACAAAGTCCAACAATATATACATTATAATGGCAATAGCAATCGAACAGTCACAAACTACATATTTCGACGATTATTTATATATTGATTTAACAATAGATTATAAGGTACCGGTAATTCTTGATATTTTTGTCGTCATTATTGAATATCACTCGTGTGAAGCATATCACTAGTCCGATATATTTATAATTGATCTATAGCCTATAGTTAAGTAATATTGTGCATTCACTGCATTGCGCATAAAGACCTACTCAATTAACTTTTGATGATTAAATATTACCCTGTTGGTGATTCATTATCGATGATTCTCCTTGCAATTCTAAAGAGATTGTAATTACTTCCTATTTATGCCCTCACCAGAAAGAAAGAATACGATTGAACTTTCTCATAATTAATGATAAATTACTTCATTCAACTCAAACACTCGCATAAAGCGATATTGTTAAAAAAACAGAGAATAACAAGACACGTATATAGATATATCGGTTTCTTCCACCGAAGTTGAAAGTTGATATGCGAAAAATTCCTTACTGCAGTTCGTAAGTGGTTTCTGGAACAAAATCGAAACTAACGAAAGGAACAAAGTTACAAGTATGAAAGTAAGTTTATGAAAATACCTTTTCAAAGTTCAAATAATTTGCGTAAAAATGACAACGTAAACACAAAAGTAAAAGTAAGGCTCTTAACGAATCATAGGGTCAACTAGGTTGCCATCACAAAATAATTAAGTTATGAATTCAAAAATCGACATAGTCACACTACCACGAACGTGGTATGGAACATACTAGACTAGCACTGAGCCACCGCGTCAAGATTGTCAACAACGAGTGTTAAAGGGCAGACCTGTTTGTCATCGCGAGATCTCAGCAGCATGTTTAACAAAAATGAACCAAGAGGACCAAGAAAACCATAATAATTACGTCGAGAAGACGATCGAAAACCATCGCATTAAAAAGAATAAATGATTATATGACAAAAAATGAGATCATGTTATTGCAATATAAGAAACTCAGTAGGAATTATCTCATTGGCAATAAGATTTTGACAGAATCGTCTTCCTCTTCGGTCTTAAACCAAGACATTGGCAAGAGGATTCTTTCAAAAATATCTTCCTCCTCTGCCATAAAACATTCAATTGAATTGAAGATTTCAATGAGATTATTCTTCTCAGTCGCAAAACATTATATTGGCATGAATACTTCCATTGGATTATCCTCCTCCACGGTCTTAACACATTAATTACATTAAAAGAGCTTTTTATAGATATATCCTATTCCTCGATCTTGAAACATTGCGATAGCATAAGCCTATTAAGACAATAATTACTTTTTCTGTTTCAATACATTAAAATCACATTATTATTATTATTTTAATAATATGGTAATAACCTTCGTCACTTGCGAAACAATAAAATTTTATTAACATCTCGTATGTTTATTATCAATTTTGGGTATACCTGGTCAAAAACCCAGATTTTAGATCACCGGGAAACAAATTAAGAACAGTGCATGATTCGGCGATATGCAAAAGTCTGTCTATTTCTCAACGCTGAATCTACTATACTAAACATTCAATACTAAAAAATTCCTATACGAAAACAGCACTTCGACCTCAATATTCGTAAGTTACAATAGCGTAACTGTTATGTAAAGGGTTTGCAATAAAGGATATGGGTTAGTGATGAGCGCCAAGCACTGCGCGCGCGGCGCAGCCTCCTGCGTTAGGCACCCGAAGGTGACGGCAAGGAAGCCAGGGTATGGCAGCGAGTCTTCCTCGTCCGTGTAGACCGAGGAACTGCCGTCGCCGTATGAACTTCCAGAGTCGTCCAGGGAGGTTCGATCGAACGCAGATTGCAAATCAACGCCTCGTCTGACAGCTAAGCTTGTTACTGTAGACGATTCCCCACTTGCTATCACACCACCAACCCCGATACCACCACCACCGGCAACACCACCTACTCCAGCCGCGGAAGCACCTGGCGGGTGGTGGCCCCGCCAGTTTTCCTTTGGCGACACTCCACTCATTGTGGTGGTAGAGAGTTAAGTTATGAGCATAATTACGTAATATATTTTCAATATGATATCACCTGAAAATGGACGTCTCATGGGACTTGGCATAAACTGCCATTGCACGAGTTCTGCATACGAATGCGAGACTCATCGAGTGCTGGCAGCACTGTTTTCATAATCGCGAATGAACTCCAAATAATGCGTTTATTAAAAAATTGTATGCGGTTTATCACTTTGATGAATATGAAAAGCACCGATCACTAAGGCATCAGATATTTCTGTGGAACACTGAAACTTTTACGGAATCAAGAGATCGCACGAAGCCGACAGTAAGTCCGCGGTAACCTGTCAAGCGGTGGCCAGAGGCTAGGTCACCACACCAACCTTCATTGCAATTCAACGCAAACTGACTCGGTCTACGCGCCTGAACCTCTCGATCCCCTCCCTCCACCTACCGCTTCTTCCCTCTCCTAAAGGCAATCACTCGCTCAGTACCCCCTCAATATTCTCTCTAGCACTCGGTCCCTTGAAGCATGGCTCTTCCTGTCAACTCACCTGACCAAGCATCGATTCGATCGCCGTACGTCCAGCCACATTGATATGCGATTGCCAGGTAAAGGATTAGCGCTAAAGGAGGCGATAACTATAAGTCGCTTAAGCCATCCCAATGCGTTGAGGTTAGACTCAATGTGTTACATAATCATTCCAATTTACGACTGTTTCATTGCAAACGACGGTAAAAATTCACTTGCCGAGGGCACGTTTTACCATAAACGATAAAATTTAGTAATCTGGCAAATTTCATGAAAAATTCAATGCAAATTACACTTTAATTCATCGATCATATAAGTTCAACTAGTATGCAAAATGCGATCAGTTTGGTTTGTGAATGGTCATCGTTTTAAACGTTATTGCTTATCCGACACACGAGTCGCAACCAAGCCTCTTGCAATATTTTAGAATTTCTATTCGTTTTTTCATCTGTTGCAATGTCTGTTTCATGCCCTAAAATAATAATTTATTTATTAACCTGATTGATCTCGTCAGGACTGATGGACTTTGTATGTCTATCGCAGAAACTTATTTTCTGCTTCTCTGAAACGGCTCCATATCAAATTCTCATGAGTGATGCACTGATGATATTCAACCCAAATTATTTCAAATAGAAAATGACATATATTGAAAACAACTGTAGCATAAAGACGCCTGGCATCACTTTATAAAAACAGAGTATGACTATTAGTATTTTGTTTCTTTGAGTTCAGCTATGTTCAAACTTCTTTATGGCATATAAATAAAATTCAATTCCTTATGTGAATAATTATTACCCTAAATTTTCCCTGAAGGGAAATACAAGTGCATTGTTTACGTTCGAGCGTTGAACCTCGTGTTTGGCCACACCTGTGGAACGGCTATCAGCGTCCTGGCAAAAATGTCTGAAGCGGTTTGCTCGCTGTTGAAGAAAATCTTGCTACCTGATACTGAAGCTGTGAAGCAAGTGAGTAATTGTAAAATTTATCGACTCCAATTGTTTCTATAAAATATAATAATCACAACCTCTATGAATTTAGCGTTCAAAATCGTGCTGTCAGTTGTCTGCAGCCGTATACGAGATTTTGTTATCAAGTCCAATAGTTTCGGCGGAAAAATTGCTACAGTCTATGACACATTCCTAGTCGCCACTTAGGTCACTCGGCACTCAGTCGGCAGATACTTCACTTGATTCAATACTTGTTAATTAACAGACGCAATGACCATGATTATAGTTTCGTAAATGTAGGCTAATGTGCTATTTTAGAAGTGTTGTCTTTAAAAAGTAATTTTTAAACGTATATTATTTTTTGACGTACCGTCAACCGGGGCTAGCTACTCGGGACGGTTTTGAGCGTATTTTGTTAACAACTTCTTACCATCATACCATGAAACATTTCATAAACAAGTTTAGGCTCATTTTATAGCTCTTTGCGAGGGCTATCGAATGGCATCTTCAAAAAAATTCTACATGCTATTCGTAAGGTGCCAGAAGCAAAAAAAGAGTGTCCCGAGTAGCCCTGTTGAACTTGGCTACTTGGGACACTTGTAACAAATTTACGTAATATCATATCAGTAAAGAAAAAGCAAGTAAAAATCACAGAAATGTCATTTATTCCACATTTGCATGATCTAAAAAGTAAGAGGAAATCAGAATACTGTTAGTAATGGCAGAGTACACTTGCTTCAAACATTTTAAAATTAAGTTTTATTTCTAGTGTCCCTTATTAGGTACCCCATTTCTAGGGGTAATTTGAACCTTTTTCTTTTGCATCTGGCACCTTATGAATAGCATATGAAATTTTATTGCAGACGTCATACAATAGCCCTCACAAAGATCTTTAAAATGAACTCAAACTTGTTTATGAAATGTTTCATGGTAAGAAGTTATAAACAAAAAATGCTCAAAACTGTTCCTTATTCCCCCTTTTGACAGTATGCCTGTTGTCAGAAAATTGGTTTATGAATTTGAATCCATTTTTTTCTGTTATTAGCACATCTTATTTGTTTCAGGGCACAAATGAACTAACAGCTCTTCTTAAACAAGACAATGGGGTGTCAGAACTATGCCAGGTCCTTGGCAACAGCAGCCTGGAGCCAGGACTACGTCAGTGTGCTGCAACCATGTTACGACGTTACCTCATGGTTAACAAAAACTGGAAGAAACTTCTTCCAGAAACTTTGCAAGAGTGAGTGACTGAGAAATTGTATTATTTTTGTTATTATTATTATTGGCAATCATTAACAATTGGTTGTGGGTACTATGGTGAAACCCCCAGGCACTTTTTTAACCCTTTCACATGCAAGCATAGAAATAAGCAGAAATTTGAATTTCTGGAGCCAATACAAGAAAGTATGGACAGTTATAAGATAAATTTACTTGTATTGGTTTTTCTAAATTTTGCTTGATATTTGAGAAAATTACAGCTGAAAATTCTATAAAAAGTAGTCCTTTTGCTAAAAGAAATGGAATTTTTTTTATTTTAAAGAAAATAATGAAAGAGCATCGATTTCATTGTCCATGTCGAAACATTCATTTGAATGCTTATATTTTAATTTTTTCATTCATATTCATAATAATACGGTGGATACTCCATAATTGAAGAAAAACCCCACCAGCGGTTGCGCGAACGCACATGAGGGCATTGGAGAATGTGTAACGTCCTAGGAAAAAAATAATAAGTACATTGGAGAAACAGGCGATAGAAAGGTTTTAGTTATGGTACGCCCTCAGCCAGCCTTGTACAGCTGACTGGAAAGCAGGTAGCGATGTAGCTGCCACAACGTCTGCACTCAGGGAGTTCCATATTCTGATGGCTGACGGAAAGAAGGAGTGAAGGTGGACGTCAGTTCTGCTGCGTGGAACCTGCAATTTGTGGGCAAGGCAGGGAGTGAAGCTATGTATGGATGGATGGGAAGACAATTGGAGATTGGCAGACGCATAATAGCGTAGCTTAAAACATAAACCAGGGGACTAGCAGGGCTTAAAAATTTTAGTGACCATATATGGTAACTTGCCCTCAAAAGGATTAAGCCTAATTTCATTCAAGACATCTCACCATTTATTTTCTGTATATGATCGTCATGAATCAGACCATAAGTGTACCAAGTTTAATCAAAAACAAACGGGCCCAAAAAAAGATAGGGGCGCTAGTCAAATGGGGTAAGACAGGATCGCAGCCTTCATGGGGTAAGAAAGGACCAGCCCATGGCGTGCATTCTAATTGCACTGAATTCAATTTGACAAAAGAATATGTTAGAGCAATCATTGCCTGTCATTTCAGTGTTTGTGGCAACCCTCTTCTGCAAATAATGAATTTCTGGCTAATTTTTAAAGAAAACCTAAGTAAAGAAGGGTCAGAAAATGGTTAACCCTGTTTGGGAAATAAGCTCTATCTAGTGACAAAAAATTTTTTGGCCAGTTTTGTGGATGTAGGCAGGTAACCTCAAGTAATAGGCAACTTTTTAGACATACTAGATAAGAATTGCCAGTTGGTCCTGTCTTACCCCATGCCTGGTCCCATCTTACCCCAGTGGGGTAAGATGGGACCAGCTCGCTTTTTTTAATCTGTACAGAAAACTGTGTTAGATGCAAAACGTCTGAGTTGTAGCTTAGAAGCCCATTGCATAACTACACATAACACTACACATAACTAGTTATTCATGGTATAGATGCTACAGGCTTGTTAGTGATTTTGGTCCTGTCTTACCCCATCTGACTATAATAGGTTTGTTCAATACATTTTAGCCATCAGACTTCTATGTGCTGAACTCTTGTCAGACTGCAGAGGTACAATTATACCTGAAATTGGTATGATGTATGATTAGAATGTAGTTAGGTATGAAGTCCAACAAGGGTCGAGATACTTGAATTACATACAATGTGTTTGTGAAATTTTAATATTATATTTTTACTGACAGATTAAAGAATGGCCTGGTAAACATCCTGGGCTCTGAGACTGATGGTAGTGTACGCACAGCAATTGCCATGCTTATGGGGCTGATCACACGTAATACAGAGTGGCCTGAACTGATGCAGCTCTTTTTCACTCTTGGTGCTTCTGAAGATCTGGCACAGAAACAGGTCAGTTTTGCTTGTCTGAGCTTTGAAGCAAATCGTTCATTATAAACCAATTACCTATGCACATGATTTTTATTTTTAACTTTGGGTGAAGAATGTTGTTGGTACATTTTGATCCTCACAAAACTTTGTTTAACATGTGCTCAGCATTTTCTAACTGTTGCTTAACTCTGTGTAAAATGTACTTGGAACATTCTCTACTTGGCAGTACTAGGTTCCAAAAGTGCTCAGCCTATTCAGTCCCCCTCAAAGCTCAGTGTATAATATACTAATAATGTCATGATGTGGGCAGTTGTGCTTGTATGTGCTGTCAGTGGTGAGTGGTGAGGGCACACTGTCACTGCTAGCCCACTGCTCACCGCTGCTGCAGCTGCTTGACAAATGCCTGCTGGACCCCACCCTGCCGTCCGTGTCGCTCGGTCACGCCATCGTCACCGTCGCTCGCCTCAGTGAGCTCATCAGCAGCCAACATGCGGTTAGTTACACGACCTACTAGCGAGGATGACTTTATTCTCCTTACAAATTTAATAATTTGGTTGTTCATCTCATAATAAATTGAATTATCACATTTTAAATATCCTTGTTCAATTTTATCAACAATCATTAGCTGTATTTATTATCTTGAAATGAAAGTGAGTTGTGATGTCCATTTCATGTATATTTTGTCTTGTAATTATCTGCATGTCATTCACTATTTGGTAATAAAGCCTGAAATTGCTAATAAGCTGGACTATGAATCTCAGGTTTACCAGTATTCAAATAAAATTTGCTTACCATTTTTCTTGTAAATAATTAATTCAAGTTTAGTGTTTTTAGCGACCAACATACATATCTTGCAGAGCCAACATCCATATCTTGCAGAGCCAACATCCATATCTTGCAGAGCCAACATCCATATCTTACAGAGCCAACATACATATCTTACAGAGCCAACATACATATCTTACAGAGCCAACATACATATCTTACAGCGCCAACATACATATCTTACAGCGCCAACATACATATCTTACAGAGCCAACATACATATCTTGCAGCACCAACATACATATCTCGCAGAGCCAACATACATATCTTACAGAGCCAACATATCTTACAGAGCCAACATATCTTACAGAGCCAACATACATATCTTACAGAGCCAACGTACATATCTAAATATCTTACAGAGTCAGTTCCAAGGCATCGTTCACAACATCATCACTGTGAGTCAGCGCCTGCTAGCTGAAGATGAGCAGCCAGTCTGGGAAACCATCGAGTTGCTGGAAGTTCTTATTGAAAATGAGGTAATTTAGCTTGTATTCATTCTCATTGTATGCTATTTGAATTAGGCCTTATGTTCCTCTTGGAATGACTTGATTTCTTTCATCCTTGCCTTCTCATGCAAATCAGGTAGCATAAAATGTTCTCAAAAAATAAGCTAGCTTACTTTCATTCATGTTTTTTAATTCAAAATGTCATGATCTCTGTTCATCATCCCTACATTAATGCGACATAAAATTGTTTACAGTATCTTCTATTAACCCTGCTATAATCCCAGAACACTTGAAAAAAGCGTTCTGAGAATTGCTATCTTTCTCTCAGCTTGTTGCTATAAATGTTACTCAAGTTTTCCTCAACGAGGCAAGATGATTTAACAGTAAGACTGTCTACAGCTGTTGCTTCTATCTTACACAATTTCATCCTATGGTGAAAAATTTTATTATCGTATAGTTTTCTGTTAAAAACAATATCAGATAGTATTACTTATCTCACAAAGTTGGTCTTAGTTGGTTAAGTACCGCCATTTACCGCCAGATCCCCGTGTTGGCGGCCGACCTGCCCAATACAGTGCAGTTCATCATCAGTCTGAGCGTGAACAAGGACCTCACCGACGGCCTCAGAATCAAAGCCATCACATTCCTGGGGCTGGTGACCAGGTGCAAGAAGAAGGTAACTTGTACGAGTCCTTGTATCTCATCACTTACTAAGCTTCCTCAGGCATCACATGAAACAGTTCTATTTGTAGCCTTTTGATTCTTGGGCAAAGCTATTGAAGCTGGTACCTGACTGAGCCGTAAAATTTCCATTTTGTAGTTAATGATATATATGCGAACTTATTCGAATAGCTCATTGAAATTACTGATGACAGAATATTTAATGTTCAAAAATTGTAATCAGGGTGTGAACGATGGTGATTGTTCTCCGTTATCAAACATTTAATACCAGCATTTTATTAATAATTTCATGTGCATTTGTTCACGTAGATACCATAGGTGTAATTATACAGCCTCATCTGGCATAGTCGCCTGAGTAACATTCGAGTCTGACCTTACCACTGTAACAGTGACGTCGTGACAGGTCAGATCTGAGCGGCTGTGAGCCGGTAGTCAGTGTTAGGTATCTTGTGGCTGTGCCGTAACATATTTATCAAACTGTTTATTGAACATGAATCTGTTGTCATGCTGGTTTCAAAATTTAAAAAATGCCTGCTTTTGAACTGTTCCTTGGCTGAAATAAAATTACGTTTTTTCCTTGTCAACTGAAGTTATAATTAACGGAATCAAAGTACAATAAAATAAAAGCAATTGAAAATTTATCCAGTTAATTATTTTTAACAAAATAGTTACCGGCATTTGGCCATATAGCTCGTTTCCATCTAACAAAACTGAAAATTTGCGGCCACGTCCGGTGACAAGGAAACCATCATCACCATCATGAATATGAAGACCAGAACGTCCTATAATGACCAAGGCTCATTCAAAAGTGACAATTAGCTCTGTGGACTTGAACTTATCTTGGAACAATTTTGCAAACTCCAAGACCTTGGATTTGCCGCTTTGGCCAAAAATTATCAAACTTCAATTTTTTCAGATCAATTTTCTGTTTGTAATTTAACTTTCACTTCGCAATTGTGTTGGATTGACAAATTACCACGATGCATTGTCTACGTATCAATCCAGTCACGAGTTGATTATGCTTCATGAAATTAAAGATCAATAACCTTCAGTGGGTTTTGCTCCTGGCTTGCTTGCACAGAATCTCATACTTTTTAGCGCATATTCTCATTTATGAAAAAAAGACGCTATTGTGCTCGTCATGTCTGTCGTCCGTCTGTCTGTCTGCGACTTCACGGACGGACGAGAAAATGCAGTTCTCTGTCAATCACTGCAGTGAGTACTGAGTTATATTTTCCTCTGTTATATCCATACTGTTTTTTCAACTCTTTTATCATGACGTTTTTTGCAGTATTTGGTGAAGCACAAGTTGACGAGCCCAATTGTGTTGTCGCTGTTCTCCATCTTGTGTGAGGAGGTGCCTGATGATCATCCCTTAGGCATCCTCATGGCTGACAATCCTGAAGTAGCTTTCAGTGAGTCAGCTATTGTGATTTTGTCAGCATCTTATTATTGTGATGTTCTCAACATCTGTTCATCATCATGTGAGCAACACGATGTATTGACTGGAGCAAGTTAGCTATTGTGATGTGAGCATTACGATGTATCGACATTGGAGCAAGCCATGCAAACTGATAGGTTTGTTTCGCCTTTTTTATTGAGTGTTAAGCAGGAATTTGGTTTAAATTGAGAGATCAGCTTGCAGCCATAGACTAAATTTTTAAAGTGCCCGGTGTCCCACAGACAGCACCGGCGAGGATGAAGTGATCCACAGTGCAGCTCAGTCCCTGGACCAGTGCGCGCGACACTTGGCTCCTGACAGACTCCTGCAGCCTCTCATACCTGCTGTTGAACAGGCACTCCAGTCTCAGGACTTTAATAAGGTAAATAACACTCCTGACAGACTCCTGCAGCCTCTCATTCCTGCTGTCGAACAGGCGCTCCAGTCTCAGNAGATGTGTATAAGAGACAGGGCTGCTACATGCTCATAGGCTGCTACGTGTTCATAGGTTGCTATGTGTTCATAGGCTGCTACGTGTTCATAGGCTGCTACGTGTTCATAGGCTGCTACTTGTACTATGGCCGTTACGTGTACCCAGGCCGTTCGTTGAAAAGGTACGCACCTGCGCCGCTAGGCTCCGTGTACTATTTAATTTAAATTAAAACTAAAGGTTTCAATTGTTCGAAGCATTGCTGGGATGCTCAATCTTGTTCTTTTTTATTCCCTTCCGAAATTATTCTCGTTTAAAACTCTGTTGAATCGTTAAATGTTTAATAATCATACTAGTGTTAATTTAAAAAGTTGATTATTGAATACCTCCACCAGCTGGTCCGTGACTGCGCTCTGCTGGCGCTGTCACAGTTTGCCGAGTTTCTGCAGCCTGACATCAGCAAGCATCACAATGAACTCCTGCCACTCACCCTCAACCATCTCGCTGAGGTCAGCAGCTAGCAGTCACTGCAATATACTTGAAAATTTTTTGCACCCCTATTGAATAAAATGTTCACTTTTTGGTAACAATATTGGGTATTTACTTATTCACTTTCCTCGTTTTAGGTAACAATTTTTAAACTGAGCTAAGTTGTTATACAATTATTCATGTCAAAGACTAAATGAGTTCACTAACATCACAAGACAGGCGTCGATGATGTTGCGTGTATTGGACCTCTGTGCGCAACCACCATTTTTTTGAAGACTTATGGAGAAAAATGAATGTATTTTCCTCATAGGAAATGAAGTTAACTTGACAATAATCTTAATGATTCCTTCTGTCGCTTTATCGACATATTTTGTGTAAATAATTTGCAGCTGATGTTACGAACATCAGCTGCCTCTTGCTCTGAACTAGACGCTAGCATTCGAAAATTTTCAAACCCTGTGTTAGGTTCAGCGTGAACGCCGCTTCACTATTTGTACCGAGCATTTCTCCCTCCTGATCAACCTATATAGTATGTAGCTCACTGTAAAAAAATGCTTCACTTATTCACTCATCTGCTAACTCTTTTTAGCGCATTTTCTCATTTATCGAAAAAATGCACTATTGTGCTCGCCATGTCCGTCTGTCTGTCTGTCCGTGACCCCAAGTTTTTGTCGACGAGAAAATCTGCTCTCTGTCACTCACTGCAGTGAGTATTGAGTTATATTTTTTTCACCTATATAGTTGGTGCTGCACTATTTCCGCCATTGTATTAGGCCGTTGCTTAGTTCAGTCTTACTGTTTTCGCGGCTTTGGGGGTTTAGTAATTTTTTGTTATTAGGAGAAGTTCAGATTTTTGACTTGCCACACTGGACAGCAGAATTCGAGACATGGGTGCATTTCCTATTAGTTATGAATTTTTTGTGTGTTTTCATAGTAACCCAAATAGTTTATTTTAAAGCTCAAAATACACCAGAAGTGCTTTAAGCCCAAAGGTGAATAATTGTGCATAATTGAAGGTTTCCCTTGCGTTATTCATGGATAATTTTGGTCGTCTTATCGATTTGTAATTTTTTTACTTTAGCATTCCTTTTATAAGTAATATTTTAGCCTTGTTTATTTTAAACTTATCAGTTCCTAATCTTTCATCGCAATTAATCTGTTCAAACTTTTTTTTAAGTGAAGCTTACTGTAGGATCTCTTTTATAAGTAATCTTTTGAATTTTCTCACTTGGCAACTCCTGAAGCTTCACTATTTGTACCGAGCATTTCTCCCTCCTGATCAACCTATGTAGTATGTAGCGTACTGTAAAAAAAACTCTTCACATATTCACAGCAGACTTAAAAACATGGTGCATTTTCCTATTAAAGTACTAATGGATATTTTCGTGTGTTTTCATAGTAACCCCAATATAGTTTATTTTAAAGCTCAACGTACACCAGAAGTGCTTTAAGTCTGAAGGTGAGCAATTGTGCATAATTGAAGGTTTCCTTTATGTTGTTGATAGATATTTTTGGTCATCTTATTTTGCAATTTTCGATTTGTAATTTTCTTGATGTTCCTTACTTAAGCATTTCTTTTATTAGTAATATTTTACCCTTGATTATTTTAAACTTATCTGTTCCTAATCTTTCATCGCAATTAATCTTTTCAAATTTTTTCGTGGGATCGATTTTATTGCAATTAATCTTTTTGAACTTTTTTACGTGAAGCTTATTGTAGGATCATTTTTATCGCAATTAATATTTTCAAACTTTTTTAAGAGAAGCTTATTGTAGGATCACTTTTATCGCAATTAATCTTTTCGAACTTTTTTAAGCGAATCTTATATTAGAATTGCTTTTATGAGTAATCTTTTGAATTCTCTCACTTGGCAACTCCTGATGCAGATTTATCCTAAGTCACATTTCAGAATAAGAGGTGAAAATGAATATACTTTCTTTGTTATGTTCAGGTATGCAACCGGAGTCAGAACGGCTGCCCTGATCCCCCTGGTGCCACTCGCCTCTTCTATGCCGTCGAAGTTTTTTGTGAGAACATGGAGCAGCAAGACCTCCTGCCCCATGTTGAGCCTTTACTCCAGCACGTCATGGCCATCCTGCAAGTAATGTGAGAACATGGAGCAACAAGATCTTCTGCCCCATGTCGAGCCCTTACTCCAGCACGTCATGCCCATCCTGCAGGTAATGTGAGAGCATGGAGCAGCAAGATCTCCTGCCCCATGTCGAGCCTTTACTCCAGCACGTCATGGCCATCCTGCAAGTAATGTGAGAACATGGAGCAACAAGACTTGCATGTAATTGCCAAAGGCACATTAAGTCTAATTTGTGCGTTGTATTCTCCTTAGCTCTCGACTTCGTCTGTCGTAGTTTATGTGAACAAACAAACTCGTTCAATGACGAGACAACATTGCTGTTACGTCACAAGTAGGTTTCTATATGAGCGCAATAAGTCATAAAAACATTGCCACATTATAGTTGCAGTTTCCTCCGTATGATGAAATACTCATGAAATATACGAAGCTACACGGTCTATAAGGTTACAATACGGGAAGCTGTTGACACCGCTACAGATACATATCCTTGCCAGTTATATTTATCACTTCCTTCCATGCGGTACATTTAGGGTCACTATTTCAATCCTTTCTGAAATCCTTTCTTAAGTGACAAACATCCACGTTTGCCAACATATGATAACTTTGGGTTCTACTAAGCATTAAATTAATTAGAGTCCGGATATCTGGTAGCCAAGGTGACGTTAGGTGCGCAATCACTTAACCCAAGGCAAGACTAAGAAAGCCAACAGTTCTAGGGTCATACCTGGATTCATTGATAATTAGACCTTCAGCTTTGCTTGTCCTGAGAAACTTGTTCAGTCGAGGCGAAGATTGGCCCGAGAAGTTGCTTCGGTAGAAACGAAGCTTATTCATTTATGGTACTAGTAAACACAAATAGATCTAGATCTTGAATTCGCTCAGTGGTAGACAGGCGTGTTCAAATTACAATGTCCGCGTTTGAGAATTATTTCTCTAATCCTAACATTCTGATAAGTTAAATCCGCCCTTTTAGAATGTCTGCAACAATGGTACCGTACTAACGTCTCTCTCAGTACTTAATAATACAGGTTCACTAGTCAACCTGTTAAAGGCATCATATAGCTACCTATCTAAAGTCGCAGTAACGTCGCCTGACATATTTATTTATCTCGTGGTAAAAATCGTCCACCCTGCACATTTCCCTGTGGCAGGTTGAGCGAACGTCTCCCTACATGAAGAAGAACGCCATCAGCGTCCTGGGGTCGATGGCGTTGAGCGTGAAGGAGCACATGGCCGTACACTTTGAAAAAGTCGTGGCGCTCCTCAAGATTTACTTGCTGGGCGAGAGTCAGGGCGACTCTACGCCCCTGCAACTGCAGAGCCTCGAGACCTTGGCACAGCTCACGCGCAGCCTCGGCACGCAGCACATACAGCCTTACGCCAACGACATCATCGAACTCGCCATGGTCTTGCTGCAGGTCAGTGTGACAATTGACATTTTCTTCAGTGATATACCTACATGGTAATAATGTTGAATTAATTTAAACAGGTTACGATACTGTAGCAAATGGCTATCATGATGCGACGTATTCTCTCAATGATGTAAGTTGTACCTACATGACATTAAGGGCTGAATTAATTTGAATTTGTCTCACTCGATTTGCAGGTCACTGTCATTATCTGAAATATTTTCCAGTGATCTATATGGCATTAGTGCTGAGTTAGCTGTAATACATAACGCTTTTGTGACAACTAACTTGTTCACTGTTGTGGCTCTTGCTTTGAAAATGATCAAAATTGTTGCAGCGATCAGTGCCTTTTGGATACAGGAAATTGTACGATTTTTACGTGCCACTTGATGCTAGGATGTTGTAAATGTCTAAATTAGCCATATATATACTAGTACATGACTAGTCATGTTTCTTACAGGCGATTTAATGGGTACAATGTTATTATTGGCAAGTTCAATGCAGTGTAAACTTGTGTTTGTTTCTTTAATCAGCGACAAGAGACTTTTGTGCTCGTTGGTCATTATATCTTTTTCTAGCTCGCAACTAATGTAGCCAAGGCATGACAACTCACACAATTCTCTTGTTCTCAGAGGTCCAAAGCTAAGGACGACCCTGAGCTGCGCAAGACTTGCTACCGCCTCTTCTCTGCCCTCGCTTCAGTCCTCCATGAGAAGCTGACGCCTCACTTGCCTCCGTTGGTGGAGAGCATCCAAGCTTCCCTGCAGTCCAAGCAAGGTGTTGTACCTGTACTCAAGAACGACTCCAATGAGGCTGTCCTCCAAAGACTAGGAGAACTCGAGTACTCTGAAGGCGAAGAAGAGGAAGACCTTGACGTTGCCGGCTACTCTGTAGAGAATATCTTCCTGGAGGAAAAGGAGGACACTTGCGTAGCTCTCAGGGAACTTGCTGAGTCGTGCGGAGAAGGATTCGTTCCTTTCATCCCTAGAATCGCACAGGACGTCTTTGACTTGGTGGCATACCCCAATGAAGACGTGAGACAAGCCGCCCTTGTGACCATGACGCACTTTGTCATTGCGCTCTCAAAACGCACGTCGGACGAAGGCGTCAAATGTTTTGATGATTGGACGGCTCGCGTTATGAGCAAACTGAGCGAGGTGATCCTGAACGATGAATACAGCGTTGTGACGTCAGCGTTGGAAGGTTATTCGGAATTATTGGGTGGCGTAGGCGAACGCCTCTTACAGCAGCCACAGCACCTGCCCTCCATCCTCGCATCTGTCACTAACGTCTTCACCTGCAAGACGAAGTGCCAGCGGGCGGGCGATGACGATGATGACGACGATGCGTCCATGGACGAAGCTGAGATGGACGAGATGCTAGTAGAATATGCAGGGGATGTGCTTGATCCGCTAGGTAAAGTACTAGGACCCGCTCGCTTCTCACAGCACTTCCCAGCCATTGTGCAGCTCTTCGCCAAGCGCCTGAGACCGAGCAGCAGTGAATGTGTGCGCTCATACGTGGTGGGGAAGCTGGCCGAGTGTGTGGAGATACTAGGGCCCCACTGCGCCCCCTTCATCCATGTCCTCATGCCCATCTTTGTGGCAGGAGCCCGTGACCTCAGCAGTGGGGAGGTGCGCGGTAACGGCATTTATGGTCTAGGGCTTCTCGGCCTTCACGGCGGGGAAATGGTTTTGCCGCATCTGCCAGGGGTGCTCATGTGTCTGTCTGAGGTCATGGCTGTAGAGAAGGAAGCTCAAGCCAGCGACAATATTTGTGGCGCCCTCGCGCGCATCATCGCCGCTCACGGTAGAAGTGTACCGATTCCTACCGTCCTCCCGGCGGTTCTCAACTGCCTGCCGTTGCGCGAAGACTTTGAGGAGAACACGACTGTGTTCAGCACGTTCTCTGCGCTGTATCAACAACGCGAGCCCACCGTGCTGCTTCATCTGCCTATGGTGCTGCGTGCTGCTGCTATTGTCTATACGACACCTCAAGCTGACGCTGCATGTCAGTCTGTCATAGAGGACTTGGTACGCCGTGTCAAGGCTGATTCTCCTGATCAGCTGACAGCAATGATCGCTGCCGTGCCAGAACCTGAGCTGCGGCAGCGACTTGAGGCCGCCGCTAATTCTGCGCCTCCTCCTGACGGTGGTGCTCCCCAACAGTAGTTAACAAATGACGATGTTTTACTTTTTCTTAAATTAAATGTTTTACTTGTTTAAATCATTGCATAGTAATCTTCTAAAATCCCAATCATGCGTCCGCCTTCATTCCTGTTACTTCGATATTCTTATGAATATTTTAGCCAGAAATTATTTCACTTAAATTTTCGGTTCTCAGGTCAGTCTTGTGAATTCGAGCTTAATTTCAATCAGCTATTGTTTGAAGCTTCCTAATGCCATCGTTGTATTTTTTTCAAACATTGAAAAAAAAATTCTTTTATACTGTCCATTTTGATTGAAAGCACCAACTGAATTTCACGTCTTGAAGCTAGTGATGGATTACTATTCTTATAGCTATAACTAGTGTCTTCATTCTTGTTTTTGACACAATAGTACTTAGTTTGGGAGCGTGACAGAGCAAGAAGGAAATCTTGCACGCTAATATAAATCTTATGTCATGGCTACTCAATGAAGGAATATTTCATAATGGACGCATGAGGATCCATCGCACGACATAAGAGTAGGTAATTGGTTCCTTGGTTGTAGTTAGATGTTCGTTTTTTGTGAGGGCATTGACGTGCACATTTATTAATTCCGGCCTTGGTGAATCGCTATAATTCACGCGTATCATTATGGTGATGGTGAGAAAATAGCGATAATCTATGCGCTTGTTGATAATGATCACATAGATATTTTGCTTGGTCTACCCTGGATCATGTTTCCTACAAAATAAAATTTCGGCCATGCTCTCTATGGGGGAATTCCTTGCTCTATTTTAACTGTGTAGGTATGTGGTCACCCAATCCATATGATGAGTTGTCAACATCTGTGAGCATCTAGCATTGAAAGGGAACCTTAATTTTATCACATCATAACTTGATATGGAACAAGATTCAAGTCATGTGAGCATCAACGTAGTTTCCAGGTCTCGCTGTGATTTACTGCACGGAATGTAGGCGAGTGGCCGACCTCCTTTCATTTGTTAAGTGATGAATCGTTGACATGCCTACGTGCTTTTCACATGTCCTGTACATCAACTGCTTGGTAAATAGAAATCGCTCTATCTATCGGTAACTTACTCACTTTTTATATGTAACTTACTACTACTTACTCGCTGAAAATTGCCTGCGGTGACAATTTCTCGGCTGGTTGCGCGGGTCGGGCGCTCGCTTGTGGCAGCTCTCACTGAATAAATCCGTGTCCTTTACTACGAAGCTTCAGATGGTATGGGACACGTTTGGCTGTTATTATTTACCTATTAAGTTTTCACTGAGCTTATCTTGAAGGATGCTAGTGTTTTTTACGAATATTGTATGCAAGCTGCTTTTTGTGATATCCATATGTTAGTTGCTGTTGCTCAGCTTCAATTGTGCTGACGTGATTTAAATTAGCATGTAATCTCATCATTATTATTCTTATACGACATAATTATTAAGATGATCATGCTTGACATTTATAATTAGAGCTATCGAAGATTGTGTGTGGTTATCACTGAGAGGAAGCTTGACTTAGATTATGATGTGTTCTGCATACTATCAGACTAGCATTATCATAACTCAACGATGTCTACCGATCAATGGAATAGAATGGTAATAACTAAAATTTCCCTTGCCAGACATGACCATTGACGGAAATTTATTTTTATTCAATCTTTAAGGAATTTGGTTGAATCGTCTTTCATTATTTACTTTTCTGATCATCTTTTCACTATCGAAATGTGAAGTGAGGAACTCGCTCTGCTTTCATAAGTGGATTTGATTAAAAGAACTTCTTTCCACGCTAAGTCTCGCGCATTTACCCTCTCTAAACAATTATTTGCCTTGAATACGAGCGATGGCGGTGGATAAAATTATATCTAAAATAATTTGAATGAAGGAAATGTACCAAGTTGTTCATATGACGTAGATTGCTAGTAGCTATTTTAGCATGGGTTCCGGGCTGCATGTTCGTCCTTGCACCGATCCATGTGACGGTTATTAATGTGTAGTCGAGTATGGGACGTAGGTTTAGTCATGGTTTTCTGTCTTTGCGTTTCTTCTCGGTGCTAAAAATCGGCCAAATCCGAGAACAAAAAAGGCCGATAATTCAATGTATACCTTTTTATTTGTAGGTTTCGCTATAAAAATTCCATTTATTTTCTTTTTGCAGTATTTAAAATTTAATTAGGAAGTACCATTATCATAAATTTTAGCCGGCCAACGCAATTGAGAAAAACTAAATCACGGAATTTATCCGGAAAAAATGAACGTCTAGCAACCAAACAAAAAACAAAACAAAAAATGAAATAATTGTACAAGATGAAGCAATCGTAGTCAACGTGTTAATTGAGAGCATACTGCGCTTTATTCAAAATTTCCTGTAGGGCATAAAAATGCAAGGACATCCTTCAATGGCACTTCTGTTGCTGTCAATCTTACACATCTATTTTACAGAGACCTGTAAGAGGATTCATGAACTGCTGGATAGCAAATTTGTCTTCATTCACGGCTAACTAGGGCAATTGCAGTCCCTGCTTTTGTTTGTGTTTTTTTATCATATGACATTATTGGAAAATTTTACGTTTTAGATTACAGCCAGGTAAGCTATCAGCGCCATGGCAAGATTTAATTAAAAATTTAGTTTGTCAACGCTGTTCAGTAAGAAGCCAATTTGTTCTGAACGAAGTATCACATAATGGCAAATTACAGTCTGCAGGTTTACGTAGCGCTAATGCTACAATATCTTTTTGTCTCCCATTAGCTGGATTTAAGGTTACATTCATTCTTTCATAAAATTTAAATGGCACTTATGTTGTTGCCTTATTTGCCGTTTTGACTTGGTTCAGTATTTGTTAATGATTATGGTTAAAATTATGAAAAAAAAAATTTCAAAACTTGAGTAAACTAAGTTCACAAAACCGACTACCGCTGTAGGTAGCAAGTGGCTTTCTGATCTACCTGCGGCTGACGTGATAACTCGTGTATGTACGCTTCTAGCTATAATTTCCCTTGTGGCTGGGTACACTTCATCTTTCAGGTAGAAATCCTGAAAGCTTAAGAAAACCTCAGACAATTAACAGCTTGAACCGCTTCGTGCCTTTCCTGCCTACTAACCTTTGAATTGTTTTCGCGTCGAACCCATCCTTTAATTAGAGAGGCAATGAGGGTAAATAAACTTTAGTTCTAATGAAAATAAAAAATGCGTAGACATTGTTGGCAATATAATTATTAACATTTACAAATGCTCAACGTTTCATTCTTGCCTATATTTTACATTTCCCCATCCACACTAGTAAATTGGTGCTTCGATGCCGCGGTTTAACAATCAACGCCGTAATTAGATCATTAATAACAAGTGATCGTTTTTAATCTTTCGATATTTTAATAACAATTTTTTTCATCAGCTATGACAGTATAATGGTTTTGTGAAGTCATGATCTCGTACACAGGTCGTCGGTACGGATAGCATGCAGGATGCAGGGTGATCTCACTTATGCTCCCTCATCCATCGCACGGAACGAATTAAATCACTTGAGTTGGCCAGAAAATCCTAAAAAACTAAGAACTCGAGGACAATGGGTATTTTTATTTCAGGCGTTCTAGCAAACAATGAACATACTTAGTTGCTTCCGCTGGCGCGTGGTAGCTATTACTGTTGCTATACTCTTATTATTAGTTGTTTGTAGCGAGATAAACTGCGTTAGTAATGGTTGAATTGCACATCACAAATGAGTGAATTGTTCGAGCTTATTTGCAAGAAAGTGAAAACTGTCTTGCGTTTTATTATCACAGCAGGAAGGTTCCTATATGTACATAAATGCCTTAAAAATAAAATTGATAAGTAAAATAATAGCAAAATTATGTTTCATCATCACATCAGGAGTGATGCCTCATTAATGGTGAAGCAGCTGCTCCACGCATAAGCTCATCACACGCATGTATTGCTCCCACACGCTGCGTTGGACGGGGTTTCTGCTCACAAAACACATACTCAGCTGAATACAAAATGAAGCGTTAATAACTCAATACATTTCTTAAATGCAATGATCACATTTGAAATAATGCTATAAAATTTCTTCATATGATCATCTCTATGCAGAGCGGAGTGAGAGCGACTCGTTTAAGAAGGAAACTAACACGATGAATAAGTTAGGGAGACTCTGCTGTAGTGAGGGTGAACAAGTTAGGGAGACTCTGCTGTAGTGAGGGTGAACAAGTTGGGGAGACTCTGCTGTAGTGAGGGTGAACAAGTTAGGGAGACTGCTGTAGTGAGGGTGAACAAGCTAGGGAGACTGCTGTAGTGAGGGTGAACAAGCTATGGAGACTCTGCTGTAGTGAGGGTGAACAAGTTAGGGAGACTGCTGTAGTGAGGGTGAACAAATTAGGGGAGACTGGTGTAGTGAGGGTGAAGAAGTTAGGGAGACTGCTGTAGTGAGGGTGAACAAGTTAGGGAGACTGCTGTAGTGAGGGTGAACAAGTTAGGAACTACGAGACGCTCCACGACGTCCACGAACAGATCACGCAGCTCCATGCATGATAAAGAAATGATAATAACAATGCATGATACTAACTTAAAATGTGCACGAGTTATGCTTTACTTCTGCAGACTTCAATTCTTAGAACGATGCACATATATCTGAACATTGCATTGAGCGTTGTTATGTAAATCAGAAATGAAGAGCAAATTTTCATAAAATACAAAATATTGAAAGTAATACATACACTAGTAAAAGTTTATATTATATAATGTATTGATATACATAATATATCATATATATTGATTTATTATAAATAATATATTGTTTATATTATATCAATGGAACCTGGAGACGAACTTGGGAGTGTGGAGCTGCGTGGCGATGCCGTACAGCGGCCGCGCCAGAAGTTTGAAGTTCGCTTCTGCCTCCGCCACTGGGCAACCGCCGGCCTTACATAAGACTAGTATCACATCCGTTTCAGGTCACATACTCGCCTGCTCGAACCTTCATTTCAATGATCATTTTATTCACCTCTTGTGCTCCTTCTCGCGGTCCAGCAGGCATCTGAGGTCGCGCAGCAGCACCAGAAACTCTCTGTCTATGCCGGAGTCTTCGCTAGTTGGCTTATTAGATGCCACCGATTGACCTGAAGAACAAATAACAGCTTAAAGTCATCGCCCGTTTTACTGTCAGAGGAATGATATAAATTATGTGCCAGAACGAGCAATTAGAGGAGAATTAAATTTGAAGAGAACAATATTGCAAATATTGCAATATTGCAGTACTGGGCCAAAGCTGCCCAGCACTGGGCCGAAGCTGCCCAGCACTGGGCCAAAGCTGCCCAGCACTGGGCCAAAGCTGCCCAGCACTGGGCTCACGCTGCCCAGCACTGGGCCCACGCTATCAACAAGCATTGATGTCTACTTCCCATAGTTTGGTGTGTCATATATTACCCAGTAGAGGCAACACAACATTGGGTCAGTATGGCTTCCAATAGCCTCGGGCTACATATATGTACAACAAATGCTGTATTTGTAGCTGATATATACGTACAACCCATGCTGCATATGTAGCAGATATATACGTACAACCCATGCTGTATATGTAGCAGATATATACCTACAACTCATGCTGTATATGTAGCAGATATATATACGTCATAACACTTGCTATATGTAGCTGATATATACGTCATAATACTTGCTATATGTAGCTGATATATACGTCATAATATTTGCTATATGTAGCTGATATACATACATCACGCCACAAAAGCAGTGACAGGATATGTAGCTAATATATAAAATAAAACATAATGTTTATATATGTCGTTGCTATAAGCATCATAACGCTCGACATGTGTAGTTGCTCTAAGCATCAAATGCTTGCCATATGTAGTTGCTATAAGCATCATAATGCTCGCCATGTGTAGTTGCTATAAGCATCATAATGCTCGACATGTGTAGTTGCTATAAGCATCATAATGCTCGCCATGTGTAGTTGCTACCTATCAGCATCATAATGCTCGCCATGTTTAGCTCATTCCACACCTGGCATGGCAGGGTTGCTGCTCCAGTGCTGCATCATAGCAAAGCCACACGTGTAGAAGTCCTCAGCTGTCATGTAGTTCAGCTTCCGCTTGTTTGTCTCAAAGCGGTTCAGGAGCAGGAAGACAATTACGGCATATTTCCTGCAATAGTAAACATATTATTACCACAATTATGGCTAGTTGGTGTTATTTTGTGGTATTAGTACCACAAATAACACTAACTAATCTACTACTATTAATAACATTAACTATCGTCAACTGGGGTGACTTCGGCCGCGTTTTTTATTTTGTTTTGCAAACAAAAACGGGGTCATAAACGCCGGAGTGACTTTGGCCATCGTTTGTGACTCCGCTTTTGTTTGCAAAACAAAATAAAAAACGCGGCCGAAGTCACCCTGGCGGCCAAAGTCACCCCAGATGACGGTATGTAATATCACATACCGGAAATAACTCTGATTAGTTTTATTTGTGTTAAGATCGGTAGTTATTATCTCATCATATCTTCAACATCAATCATTTTATTACACAACAACCTCACCTGCTGAGGCCATCTGACAAAAGGAAAAAGTTTTCAATGGTGGAGATAAGAGGAGCGGAAGCTTCTTCGATGAGCTTGAACACTCGCTTGATGTTGTCGAATTGACGTCTTGGAAAAAACAGAAATATAACTTGTCATGATGTGTGCAAATGGCAACAAGTGGCAGAAAAGTTTTGGTGCAATGAAAGATAAGAAAGAATTCAAATGAAAAACTGATTCAGTCAATTGAATTCCATTCCATATATAGATATATAAAATCAAATTTTTACTCTAAAAATATCAAACATATATGCTCAAAAACATGGCAATATGTACTTGGAAGCACTCATTTTGTTTCTGGAGCCCTAAAAGTCACAAAACAATAGTGAAGCCAAACACTGACCGACATGATCTAAGCATCATCCCAGTTTTCTCAGCCACATCATCAAGATCTTTTCGGTTGCGGCCTGAGAGCTTCTTGCCAATGATCTCTCGAACCACACAGTCATCCAGAGTGTAAAATCTGTATATAAAATCTGTCTGGTGTAAATCAATTTTACACCAGACTGCTCATTGACCAAAATTTTGTGAAATGTTAATACACAATTGTTTGAATATTTTTAATGAAATCTTGTTACTGGACACAAAATTCAAATTTAATAAATAATTTGCATAAAGTAACACTACTGATAATTCATTTATCTTTATAAGATTTCACAACTTACTTGGCAAATATTGTGGTTTTCCTTCAAAATTTTGTGCACCTGAATATAAATGGCACAAATGTTCAAGGTAGAAAATAGAATGGATCACAATCCATTAACAAACCTAAGCTTACTTTTCTATGAGTAGTTTTTGATGTCTGGTGCTGATCTGATGTGTGCAGTCTTCAGCAAGTTTGTAAGGAGCCACAAGGATTTTCTCAAACTCGGCAAATCTCCTGTAGTGGTCACTGGTGTCCATGGCAACTATTTTTTTCAGGCTCGTGTGTGGAGACAGCCCTGTTCCCCATTCTTGTACCTCTGCAGTCTTCAGAAGTTCAGCAGTAGCTTCACCAACTGCAAGTATACAAATGATAAAAAATCATCAACTCTCATCATAATTATTATGTGTTCTCATTATCTGCAATTAAATTATTGAGAATACATTTAATAAGATGTATGTACAAAAAGTGGTAATGCTGATCTGGGGACCATTGCCATGCCATTGGACTCTTTATACAGGGTGTCCCAAAAAAAACGATACTCAACTTTGAATGGCTGTAACTCGTAAAGTAATAGAGTTAAAAAATTTTGGACAGTCAGGATTTGTTCCCTATGTTTTTCTCCATCTCTCCACCAAAAATCAGACAGATCGATGTAGCCATAAGGGTTTGATAGAACTTTCAGTGACATGCGCTAAAATAGAATTTCAAAACCAAAGATTGCCTCTCACCAAAGATTGCCATGATTGTGCCTCACCAAAGATTGTTGTGATTGCCTCTCACCAAAAATTGTCATGATTGTGTCTCACCAAATATTGCCATGATTGTGTCTCACCAAAGATTGTCATGATTGTCTCTCACCAAAGATTGTCTCTCACCAAAGATTGCCATGTTTTTGTCTCACCAAAGATACAAAAAAAAAACAGCAAAAAGAAAGCATGTCAAGACAACGTAATGATTATGCAAAATGATCTTACTAAAACTTAGCGCAAGCACGATTTTAGCGCATGTCACTGAAAGTTCTATCAAATGCTTATGGCTACATCGATCTGTCTGATTTTTGGTGGAGAGATGGAGAAAAACATAGGGAACAAATCCTGACTATCCAAATTTTTTTAACTCTATTACTTTTTGAGTTACAGCCATTCAAAGTTGGGCATCGTTTTTTGGGGGGATACCCTGTACATACAATATTCAACTGTGATGATCAGTCTGGAGCTGAACTCCATAACAGGTGGGGAGCAGGATCAGGTGAACTGTAAAACAGTTCACAAATGATTTTTTCATCCTAATACAGCTTTAATAGCCCTTTCATTGCTCATTTTAATTACTGTAAGCAGCATTACTCCTCTGATATTAGGCATAATTATTATTAATTCACAAGTATTTAATTATTCATTAGCACATTAATACCTTAAAACCATTTCATTCATTCGTTAATGATAACTGAAAGAAATAAGCAATAATAAACTTCTTCTGTAGATGAGAGTACCATTAAAACATGTTTATTAGCCACATTGCCCATTATCCGTTATTTGCTTTCATTGAATTAGTAGTCAGAATTAATGTGATTATTATGTCCCTGACAATCAAAACTGGGCCAGACCATCACATTTACCTGAACAATTATCTCTACACATTTGTAAATGCTAGACAATATTTCTTTGTCATGTACTATCACAAGTATCTCAATCTCTTGTAAATGTTGGAGCAATAAAAAAATTCATAACATACGTAGGTACTACATAATAGAACTAAAATTGCTAAATCAATTTCATAGCAATAGCCAAAAGGCCAGCAATCATTTTAAAATTTAAGGAATTTAAAATTGATAACAAATTAATGAGAAATTATGATAAAATCTTTTCTCTGAAAGTAACCCAAGATGATTCATTTTGTTGAGTGTTGTCACAAAGACAACAGGGTTTATAGAGGTAATACTGACTATGTCCCCATAAATCAAAGACCAGGAACAATAGATTATTTTGTCCACTATATGAATATCAGGACACAAATGTGCGGAACATTTACGTACATAAATAAAGTAAAATTGCACGTACACTAAATAAATAGCAACACAACTGTGTGGAACATTTATATAAATAAATAAATGTGTACACTATATGAATATCAGGACACAACTGTGAGGAACATTTATGTACCATAAATAAAATAAATTTGTACACTATATAAATATCAGGAAAAAAATGTGTGGAATATTGATGTAAATAAAAATCAATACTTACCGTACCTAATTCATTTTTCCAGGCCTAAGAAAAATATTAAAACATATATTTTTTAATTTACTAATCTTAAAAGATTAAAAAATTTCTAATGGAATGCTATTTAATAAATTAAAGTTGAAATGAATTGCCTCATCATAATTCATCATTAGTTTAAAAATTATTCATGCTTACTAATATACTATTCAGTTATATACAGTCAACAAGCAAATTATCCCTTGGATTGATATGCAATTGTCAGTGCCCACAAGATCTGAGGACACTGCAATTATTATGTGCAATAGGTCAGTGCATAACAAAACAATGAATTAGATTGCAATTAGAATCGCAAGTCCGCAAATCCTGAGTTATGGTCCACAAGAATTAATTGGAATTGAGAGCCATATGAATTGTTAACCATAATCCATATAGATTGATTTTGCTTGTTTTGCTCAACAACTGTCAACCAGATAATTTATACATTATTGTCTGAGAAAAAATGCAATCAGAAGCTTTGTGCTGAATTCTGAGAGATGCTGATGAACAGCCGTAAAGATGCTCATATATTTAATGACCTAATTAGTCTTTCACAACATCCATGGCAAATGAATAGGGAGGATCTCTGAGTGTAGGTACATAAAGTATTATACTGATCAATTGAAAATGACAAGTTAAAATTTGAGAACCTCTAAATATCTAAAAGTTAGCTGCATTTTTTATATTGCCTGAAAATGCACACATTTACAGACAACACAAATGTTATTATTAGAACAAAACTTGTACATATACAATTTGAAGTTGAAGAACATATGACAAATTTTTATCTTACCTGACAGTCCTTTGAGCCATAAATCATAAACAGTCTCATCAATGCCAGTATAATTTTCTATCATGGCATCAACTTCTGGCATATACATGGTGATCATTGTGACTAAATAAACTATTTAAATTATTAGATCCTTGGGAGGCTGAGAGAGCTTACATATTAGGAAATTTTCCACATCCTGACATAACTGGGAACCCCAAATGTAATTGACCACAGTGGACAGTATCAGAATTTCCAAATATCTTAACCCTTTAGCGGGCAAGCATTGAAATATCCAGAAATTAAAATTCCAGAAACCATTTCAAGAAAGTATGAAGTATTATACAATATATTTATTTCTATGAATTTTTGTTAATTTTGCCTATTGAAGGTTTAAATTGCACTTGAAGAATTCAATAAATGCAATCAGTACACAAAATTTTTCTTATAATTAAAATTCAGTTTATGCAAATGAAAAATTAGAAACATAAAAATTTAATTTAATTAAATTTAATCAAGTTGCCAAAATAAATAAATATATACATTGATACTTCCACCTTTTGAAGAAAATGCAGAAAGAGCGTCAGTTCCATTGTCCGAGTCAAAACCTTCATTTAAATGCTCATATTTCAATTTGTGGACTTTGCAGCTGGTGGTGCTATAGATAGAAGGATGGTCAGATATAGGGATTGACTGAGGCATTATAAGGATGCCTCAAAAACAAACAGGAAGCCGTGGTGAGGCTTTTTGTGACACAATTTCAAGTGATCATATATGGTAACTTACCCATGAAAGGGTTAATAGCGACTGAATACTCTCAGTATTCATTAGGACATTAGACCTTTCTTTGATTCTTAACAGTGCAGACTGCAGAACATTCACAGCTTGATGTGGTCTTTAACTGCACCACACTGGTGACTGGTCCTATTCAAGCTATTGTGCTGAGCGCAACTGCCCTGCCTCCTTGCTGATTCTGACCAGAACTGTTGCAGGTAGCTAGGATCAAACCTGCATCTTGCTGCTCTAATCCTGGTACTGTAACTGTAACTACTGCAACAAACTAGCATCAAATTTTATTTACATTATTCATTACATATATTGAAATTCTCCCTTGGCCATGAAAATTCAGTTTACTGCTTTTCCAAAGTAATGCCATACAAAATGAATGAGCTTACCAAGTTACCCATCACAGCATTGCAGTGAGCACACAATTCATTTTCTGAGTTTTAATTTACTACTATGTGCCTAGTCTATGTTTGCAGTATAATTTAGTTGTGGAACTCACCAATAAAGGCAGTGCTTGTCAGCTATGCTAAAGTCAATAAGATGCGCTACAGCAAGTTGAAAATCCGTTACATTGGTTGCCAACTGTAAAACACTACTGGCTTCTAACTGACATGTTGAGGTCGATCCCTATTGTTGTCGCCTCCCATTCAGTGCCTTCTAGAACTTATTCTACATTCCTTATTGTACATCCTTACATAAAGCCAAAACAAGGAAATAACAATTCTAGCCAATAATATTTCATCAATCAATTACTGGTACCCAACTCAGAAAGCAGACACCATTCCAACTTGGATCGGAAAATCACAAGAATTCAAAAAATATATATCTGGATTTATCACAACTTTCAAATAACAAAGTCAAGGTTTTCTTGATGCTTCTTGTTATGACACAGCATTATAGCTATTCTCTCAAGTTCTTTGCAGAACCAACTTCACCTTGAGAACAGCCACCACAGTCCACACTATTATGATTTATGATCTTGATCATAATATATTCAAACAAACTTCATTGCAAAACAGAGCAGCTCCCTCTCCCTAATGATCATTCTTCAAATGACCTTGTTAAATCCCGACTCTTTAAAGTAGTCATTCATCAAACCTAAAGATTGATGGACTTCTGTCATTTGTTAGCTTTCTACACTTGTACCAAGACACCTGAGGCTCATAAAATGAACATCGCTCTGCTGAGACGCAGCTAAGCACACGTCTTTTAGGCTTTTAGATTCTTTGCAGAACCAACTTCACCTTGAAAACAGCCACCACATTATTATATTTTCTAACAAACATCATTACAAAACAAAGCTGAAAGCAGCTCTCCCTAATGATCATACTTCAAGTCATCGTATAAAATCCTGGCATCATTAAAGTCATTCATCAAACCTCAAGATTGATTGACTTTTTTATTTGTTAGCTTTCTGCACTTGTACCAACACGCCTGAGGCTCGTAAAATGAACGTTGCTCTGCTGAGACACAGCTGAGCACACGTCTTTTAGTTCCCCCCTGATCAAAGACATATATCATACCTCAAGATTGGTCGACTGCAGTGATTGGTCGATTGGTGTTGACTAAGGCAAGCTTTCTGCACTTGTATCAACATGCACTTGTACCAACATGCACTTGTACCAACAGGGACGGAGCTGAACACGTCATACCTTTTGCTTTATTCTAATCAGCAATTCTACAATGGAAAAAATAAAGACCCAAAAATTAATTGTACATCATACTTTTGACCCCACTTATGCCTCGGCTGAGGGCTGAAGCCCCTATACGTTAGGATAAGAATGAAATATTTGGTGAGAGTTTAGAGTTAAAATTTTGTGGACTTTCATGGAAAAATCCTTGTTCTATTTCATTGTGATCCTTATATCAGATGATTCTCTCCGGAACAACACTTCATACACATTATTTTTTCATTACATTAAATTTAGTCAATGTTTCTTAATTATTGTCGGACAAATGTTTTAGGCGAGTTCTTGCATCATACGAGTGTAAGATGTAATTATGCGCTACTCGATTGGGGGAGCCCTGATTTATCTATCGGTAGTCCTACCTAGTACTGAGCGTGCAATTAGTGTGTGTAAAATGAAATGACTGAAATAGTGCGTGTCGGGTGCCAAATTAATTTCTTTCAAGAAATGGCTCATGGAATCATCAAAAAATCTTAAAATTTGAAGAAAAAGTAATCCAGATTTCTGTAATCTTGAACCTGTAGATTCAGGTTGTGGTGAGATTTCATTTTTAATTTCAAAATTTTATACAGCATCCATGCCATGGTCAGGAAGATGTGCCAGGTGTGCTGGAATATATATTGTCACTTAATTAACCTGCGCAGTGTGCCATATTATGCCGGTAAAAAAAATTTGCCGTGCACAGCACTCCTAAAAGGCTAAAATAATGTAAATAATGATGCACCACAGCGCTATCACACACCGTACATGCGAACGTATTATCCACATTGTGTTCTGGTTGGATATGAGTTGACTAGATTGCTAACAAGTCAACCCTGGTAGGAAGATTCTTTCATAGATCACAATTCGAGCGGACATGAATAACAGAACTAAAAAACGCAACATCGCGTGAGATGTGCCATCAGTGCCTTCTAGTGATTGACTGGTTGCGGCAATTAGGGTACGAACCTGTATGTCAACATCAGGACTACTTTCCTGACATCCTCCCGGCCGGCAAAATAGACTCGATCAATACCTAATAACAACGCGTGCAAATGGACTATATAAATTAAGTCAATAAGACATAATTACAGAGTGTAATTAGACTATGTGATACAAAATATTCAAGAAAAAATTGATCTCCGCAAAATTCTCTTTCAGAGTCTGTAACTAATTCTACAGAACGAATAAGGTTTTCGTTACCAACAATCAAAGGAATTACTTTTCCTAATTTCCCCAGTACACAAAGGTGATTGCTATGAATTTGTACAATATATCTCCTATCTCAACAGTATTACTAGAAGTTACCTTGATGGAATATATCTCCTATCTCAACAGTATTACTAGAAGTTACCTTGATGGACTGAGATCTTTCACGAAGTGAAGTCGGATAGTCCAACTGATTGAAAGTTAAACATTTGAGAAGGATGGTCTTTTCATTCAGGGATGGGTCGTGAATATCTTCAATGTCGATGGGTCTGGAATTTCCGATTTGATGACCATTAATCAATAGTGACGGTGTTATTGGTTGTAAAACATTGATATCTTCTGTAAGATAAGTCAATGGTCTGTCGTTAATTTTTGCCTCATTTGAGCAATTATGGTTTCCAAATCTGGTTGCGTTATGATACGTCATGTATACTTTGAATGTGAAAAAATTATATCTATAATATGAAATTTGTTACATATGTTATCATAGCACGAATCGCAGTAGAGTATCAAGATTGCAGTTCTGCCACCACCCTTCATTGAATTATCCCACATTTTTTCTATAATTCAACATTCTCTTTTCTAGCAAAGTTTGTGAAATTCATTAGCTACATAAAATACTCTGCAGCGGTGGTCTAGTTCCGGTTGAGAACACATCTGTTTGCTTGTTTGACGATAATTTTGTAAAGGTTGCTTCAGATAAACTAATCATTGCCATTCCCATGTTTCACCCTCAATGTAATGTAGCAAACGATATTGAATGGCATTATTCATACAAACTTGTATCTATTAAACTTTTACATTTTAAGATCTGATGGAAGTGGTGAGCGTCCCTAACAATGCGAGGATGTATATAAAAACATTAATGATCTAGAAGCAGGCTTTGCCCAAAAAAAAAAAACATTTCAACAGGGCTAGAATGGAAAAAGATCATTCCTTGTAGTTTAATAAACATGAAATCTCTCTATTAAAAAGTTAGATTTTGTTGGTCAATAAAGTTTATAAAAACTATGCAAGTCGAACCAACAATAATAAAATACAAGACATGTCCGGGTTACTTTTGACTATCTGCTTACCGGATACAAAACGTACAGTAATCTTAAACTGCGGCTATTAAAGACACTGAATGTTAACAGGCAGTGTTGCCATATAAATCTGTACAGAAAACTGTGTTGTATGCAAAAAGTCTGAGTTGTAGCTTTGAAGCCCATTGCATAACCACACCTTATGATAAGTTTAGGATTTTTTAGTTCTTCATGGTATAGATGCTCCATTCCTGTTAGTGATTTCGGTCCTGTCTTACCCCATCTGACTATATGCTTGGAGAAAATTTCTCCTAAAATAAAGTTCTAGATTTCTCATTCACCAAATTTCCATGTCAAGAAAAATTATATAGTATTGAAGGCTAATTAAAGGCATACTGTAATGAGTATTTTGTCTGTTCCTCAACAAACTGCTCTTGCACAGCATAGAATTGATGGCTGGGATTGCGCAAACATCTGCGCAAAGAGAAAATATTTAAATAATTTTGCGCAAACTGCGCAGACCTATGACTTCCAAAAACTCATTATGCGCGGGAAAATCCCCCAAAAACATACATCATCCTGAGTGTGGCATTCATGAACACTTTCTTAAAAAAGAATCAATTTGGCACTGGCCATGCACTATTTTCTCCTAGCTCGGTGGACTAGATGAATTCCTTGTGCAACGCAAATTCTCTATTTTTCATGTACTTTGTACTTCAAGTTCAACAAGATACTGTAGACCAAATGTCACCGGCACCTGCCGCATAGAATTATGGGCTGATGACGCGTATGATGACCACCAAGTAGCACCAACTTGCAAGCACGCCAGCACGGACAAATTTTTTCAATAAAATGCAGCTGATTTTATGATTAACTTCAGTATATATAGGAGTTAGCTATTAGGTTACCTTGTCATAGCAGGAGCAGCTTCTGTTTATGAATGAGGAAGGCTTGCTCAGGAGCAGCTTGCTCCTTTGAAGTAAATTATTACTGATGCATAACTTAATGGGGGTATTAAATAATTTGTTACTTGTTGTAGAAGCAAAATATGTGGCAGCACCAACACCAAGCACCGGTACCCATGTTGTAATACCAAAAAATAATTTTATTCATATCATTAAATTGATTTATTCTAAAATTCTTGGACATCGTACATATCATTTGTATTTTGTGATTCACTGTAAGTGAATCATTCACTTACAGTGGTTCAATTAATATTAACCCTTTCATGGGTAAGTTACCATATATGATCACTTGAAATTGCGTCACAAAAAGCCTCACCACGGCTTCCTGTTTGTTTTTTAGGCATCCTTAATTATATATATAATACCTCAGTCAATCACTAATTATCTGACCATCGTTCTATCTATAGCATCACCAACTGTAAAGTCCACAAATTGAAATATGAGCATTTAAATGAAGGATTTGACTTGGACCATTGAATTGACGCTCTTTCCGGCTTCCGCATTTCCTTCAAAATTTGGAAGTATCAATATATATACAGTATTTATTTATTTTGGCAACTTGATTAAATTTAATTAAATTAAATTTTATGTGTCTAATTTTTCATTTGCATAAACTGAATTTTAATTATAAAGAAAAATTTCGTGTAGGGTAAACGCGGTATATTCCGACACATTAAGGACGCATCGAGAAATGAAAAACTATAAAAAAATAACCGTATGCATTACTCAAGTTTTGTTTGCTTTATGTGACCCGCAAAACACCGTACTACGCACCAGCAATGATGAAACGTCACAAAAGAATGCCATATTTATTTAAAAGCCTTTAGAATGCAAACCTACCAATCCCTATATTCCGACACTGTGTGTGGCAATATTTGGCACGTGGTGAGGCGTATTCCGTCCGCACTTCAAATTCTACTGATACGTGATGCCGTCATGCACGTGTTCGAATTCCGTTCGCTGTGTGAGCTGTATTGGAATACAACATGGCTTTGAATTAGAACACTAATGAATATTGAACACTACTTAATTACGCTTTTAATTAAGCAAATTTTAATTTTTGTACATAGCTTGGAACGATCTGTGTGTGTCCAATTCAAGTTATGACGGAATTAGTTTTTATGTGTCTAAATCCATTTCTCAACTTAATCATCTATTAATTTATTTACCACTTGAAATCAGTGAATACAAGTATACTTAAAGGATTCCTAATATATTAACAGATGTAGGGTAAACGCGGTATATTCCGACATCGTAGGTAATTCCGTCACCTCTCCAGCTTTTCCTTTATATTAAGCTTTGTTTTAGTACTCTGATGCTTCTGATCGCCGCCGCCGCTGTCTCGTCCGCGGCGACGGCGTAAGTGCTTTTATTTCAAGCCAATCGACCATATAATATTGACAAGATTTGAGAACGCGATTGTTATTCTTTATATTGTCGTGATTTGCATAGCATTTAATTTGATTCAAATTAATGATTCGAATGAATTACTATGATTGTATGGTGATTTTTTAGAAAAATGAAATCTGTGTTATCCACGATGATAAACGGTAATGTAATCCTTCTAAATTATTATTTAATCTAATTATATTATTTAACAACTCGTGAATATCATAACATTTAACATGACAACATTGAAGTTAGATTCGTCATTTCCCAAAATCCTAGTGATAAAATTTCGGAGTCAACAGCTGTTTTCAGGGCGTTGTTTTGAAGCATCATATCATGTTGTTTTTCGATTATTTATATTTCAAATGTCTGCCGCATTACTTTATTTGTGAATATGAATGCACTTTTCAATTTTTACGCAAACATTGTAATTTTTACAGAGAATCTTCTTGTCACATTCAATTGGGGTACAGACTCTCAGTAATGTACGTCGACGGTCATATTAATATGGAAGATGAAAAATGCTCTTTGCAGTATAAAACGGATACGGACAAATTTTCAAGTAAGTGTGAAGAGAGTCATTGTGCATTAGTTTGCTCTCAATCAGTTTGTTCTCAACATTCATTTTCACGCAATAAGCATGTGAACGAACCATCTCGGCTGGTAGTTTGTTGAAAATTTATTGAATTTCAAATCTTTATATGTCCATTTAATTTTCTTAACGAAAATCTTATACTACTATAATTCTCAATCAGTAGATTTTATTTTAGTTTCTTATGAATCGTTCGAGATTCTATCTAATTTGGATTTTTTTCGCCATGAGATTTTATCACTAAACAATTATTTTCATTGTCCATGGGCGCTTCTTGCCAGTTAAAGAGAATTAATTTAGAATTGGTTATCTCGATATAAAATTTTAGTTTCCTCGACGATTAGGTTAACTTAATTCCATTTTATGAATATTTCTAAATGTGTGCTGATGGAGATATTTAAATTACTGGTAGGCAGCTTCGAATGATGAATCGATTGGCATCAGCTAAGCTCATGATTTCTTGCCCTCAATACTACACTAACTTTGATCTATGTTTGTCAGTTTTGTCTTAATTGAGATTCAGCCTAAGACATTTTCATCACTGGATATATGATGCGAACACTAAAGATTCCCGTCTTCTTTCCTCTCCAACAGAGTTACGTTGCTACGTCTTTTCAACTCAGTACGATGCTGCAAATTGTGATCCACTGTTGTTCAATGGCTGGCTGTGCGCGTTGAAAAAAAAAGGGTTGGTAAGTATTTGAGTTTACAGGTAAACTGAGCACACCGTGCAGTAAATTGAGCAATATCCCTGAGATTAATGATATCTCACTTAGGCTCGTTTTAAAATATATCTAACGTTCTTCTCAAGGTAGCATAAGGTTCAATCCCGGATTTTCATCATTGAATAAACAGCTAAAGTATTTTCATTAGCATTTTTCCAACGTACATTTCTTATAGGCATCAGCGAAATGAAAAGGAATATGATACATGCTTGTTACAGTGCCTATCAAAAGTTATTTAGGCGGGTCAAACGTCGGCCGTTTCGCTATTTTCACAGAGCCTATGATCATGTAAATATTTAGAGCAGCAACTGCATGAAAAATAATCAGGATATTAAATACAATTACATTTGTAATGAAATCAACTCGACTTTTCTCGTTTCTTTGAAGTTTGATCCGGTTTCGTGATCTGAGGAGTAATAGCCTTTTTAAGTTAAACCTCCTCAAGTTTGTTCGCAAGAATTATTTATCTTTGTTTTTTTTCTTGAAAATACCCAGAAAAATTACATCATTGAGTGATGTCTACTTACATGAGTGTGGGTGATAACCACTTACATGAGTGATGCGAGTGATGTCCACTTCCGATGAACAACCAGGCATTCTATGCAGCATTCCTTTTTTGAAGGCATTGTATGATTCAAGGCATGCATAAGTAACATAAGAAAGAAATCTTTACTGCTCACTTTATTCTCGCTCTAGAAGTGTTTTCCTTTCCTCAACAGCTGAAATCCGACAACACCTTGAACGATGTGGCTTTCCAGAATATTTCACTGAGGAACAAATGCAGCACTGATACCAACTTCTCACAGGCTTACCCGAACTGCAAAAGCTCCACCATGAAATATTTGAACGTAAGTCATAAAAATGTGTGCTTATTCAGGTAGCAAAGGTACTTAAACATGTTTATTTCGATGAATTTTACTAAACTTTATTAGAGATTACAGAAATTATAAATAACTAGAGCTGATTCTAGCATGGCAGTGTAATATATCATTAGTCATATAAATGTAGCCAGCTTGAACCATGTATGACAGTAAAAGCTCACGATTTATATTTTACGTGACAGATTTTAAGGCTTCTTTTCTGTCTCTTTCGTGCCGTGCCCTAATCCGCTCACTCAATGGAGGAAAACCCACTGACTCGGAACAAGACTAACTGAACTCGCCTTCACTCCTCGTGCTAAGAGTTTTTATCTTCCTTCAATAAATATTATGATGTTTTTCAACTGATATAATTACTTGCCAGTGAATGAATAGCTGTGCAAGCATCTGCTCCCATTCACAATTTCTCATCAAATGAAAATTCAACTCTTTCAAAATTACCAAAAATATTCAACATTTGCAGCGCGTTATTTAGTTGCATTAGGTTTAGGAATATAATATACAATTTAAAATCGGATAAAAATTACTACGGTTAGGACTCTTTCAATGAATTAGAAATGTTCCAGGACTGAAATGGAATATCATTTATTGAATTAAATATTCTTGCAGAACATATCGCACAATTTAAATATCCTGGGTGTTTGAAAATGGGTCGCACAATATGCCAAAAATGTCGCGCTATTGTCTAAACTCTAAAGTATGCTTAATGTTTAGAACAAAAATACCGCGACACGGTTTTCGAAAACTTTTAACAAACGTGTCGCACAATAACCCAAATTGAGGCTTAGATATGGGTGAATATAGTGACACTATTTTTCCAATTCATTACAACACAATAAAAAATCGAAACGTTATAATGAACAATCGTGAACATTCGCTTTAACACAACTGATTTGCTGGCAATATGTCAACGCCCACTATCGAGAATGTCTAAATAATTTAGGGTCGCCTGCCGAAGACCACCACTGCCCTGGATGTAATGGACCATCATGATTCCTGCCTTCCGTAACGTAGCCTTCAACACTTCAAGCCGTCCGTATCTAGGCAGTGCGTCGAACCAGCCCTCGGTCGAACGGCCACTTGTCGAAGGACGATAAATTTTGGAACAGAACTATGCTATCTGAAACCTAACCTTAGATGCGGTGAACGTAAAATTACGTAATTCAACGATGCCCGGAAGTCATATTCGATCCGCGGCCTGGTGGTGCACGGCAGCTTCTATGCAAGGCCGGAGGCGGACAAAGCCGAGTGATTCACGGCTGATTGGTGGATGTCCGGAGAGATCCAAGGAGTTTGATTCAGGGCTTATTGGTGCACAAAATTGGTGGTGCACAGCTGCGCTCCCGTCTAAATACGTTCCCACTGAAAAAAGATTCTTTTCATTTGCTCACACGGAGGGAAATGGGCAAATACCAACTCAAATATAATAGACGTGGGCGAGTCTGAACTACCGCTGGAGGGTTGAAATACCATCGCCTGTGAAATCTTTCTCTAAATAGAATTGAAATGCTAGAGTTCAAAGGCAAATGATGAAAATATTTATTAGCTTATGATATTTCTACAACACGTACTCGGAAGTAATCAGCTTTAACAAAACTAGAGGAAGGTCTAGGGTTCTTGTTGGAGACAGCGTGGAACACACGACCTATTATATGTTTCTATGGCCGCAACATGACCTATAAAGTTTAAATTGTAACCCTTGCCACGACTACAATAATCCAACGCTATTTGTAAAACGCTTCCCTATTGGCTAAAAAGCGAAGCTTTAGGGTGGACCGGATTCCAAACCTAAGGCACATACGAAATTAATTATATTTAGAGAGATAACATGCATACGAAAAGAAGTTACAAATTGGATGTATACAGAGCTAGAAAACCGGAGCTGGGAGGGCGAATTAATTAGGGAGTAAGTGTGTGATCCTAAACAGACACCATACAACCCTATAAAAAGGACAAAACGGTTCATTTGTTTGTAAATTTCACGATATTAAAGAATTTGTTGTCCTAACACTAATGCATGCCACTACTTACCCTGGCGTCATGGCGTTTAGTAAAAAAACAACTAAACATGGGAACCAGTGCTCGTGTCGAGATCAAGCAGCTGATCTGAAAAACTGATGCCTACCAAAAATTTGTTCCCAAATCCAAGCTAGTCAAACTTAATCTTCGTCGCTAAATGCAAGTAGGAAATTTGCAGCATAATAAAACTCGGCTTTATAGAGTCCAGTGTCCTCTTGGCCGCCAAATATTGAGAAGCGATTAGTAAGAAATTTATTTCTGATTTTCATAGACAATTAAATCTGTCGATCGAAATAAAACCCACCCGCTGGACTGTCCACTATTAGCAAACTACCTGAATAAAAAGATGAAACTTTCAACCAATTGTTTCAGGTCAACCGAGTTTTGAATAGCTAAGGCCTAAGCGATAGTTTCCATAAGGTATTGAATTATTTGATGCAACAGATATTTTGATTAAACAGAAATACATTCCATTATTATGAGACGCAATAAAACGGTGCACGACGGTTGCTTGGGATATCCCTATTCAAAATTTAACAAAGTGCAATTACTTATTTAGGGCAAAGATGTATATGAAGGTGTATATAACAATAATTTAAAAGGCGCTTCCAATCAAAAATTGATCAATTTAAATGTTCCATGGAAAGTGAAGATTTCTAATCTAATGTTTTAAAATTTTGTAAATTGAATTGTTTGAAAGCTTTGCAAACAGGGACTTGGAGATATAGTATGAACATATAAATTAACTAAGAGTAGACTTTTAAACTTATGAGTAAACTTTAAACGGAATATTCCATGCTCAACAAATAATCTGGACCTTGTTGCTGGCCAATTACCTTCCCTCGTTCATCACTCTGAGTCATCTCATTACTGTCAAGTTTATTTTGATAAGTAAGTAAATAAGTATTTTTTTAAAATTATTTTTGGGTAAAGATATGTCGCGTATTTGCATGGTAGTTGTTATTGTTGTTAGATAGCACATTTGATTCATATCTAGTTCTTATTAAGTAATTTTTCAACAATAAGTATCTGAAAATTTAGAAGAAGCCAAAATTCTTTGTAGGTTGGTAAACTTCATTTCTTCCACTATATTAGGAAATAAATGTTTTTTATATAATACAACTTCAGACCCTGGCTATTGTATATCATGAGCTCCGTTTGGTTTATGTCTTAATGACATTTCTTTTCATTATTTGTCGTCTAAAATGAGCTTGTCATCCTGTAGCGGGGAACCACTAACATGTACTGACTGCGATCGAAAGTCTACTGTACATTGCGTTGCAGTTAAGCTTGTAATGTAAGGTGCACAATGAAAGAACTTGAAGGTAATATTTTAATGGAAAAAGAACTTGGCAAAAAACACATTCTAATTTGCACGGATCATTTTCCGTAAAGATAAATAAACCGGCTAACCTGAATTGTACTTTTGAACCCTAATACAAGATCATTATACTCCTAAAAACACTTTCGGCGAATAACGTACCGACGTTCAATGACGTACATGTTACGTCTTCACGCCGTCTCCGGCCGGTTAAAGTCCAGGGAATGCCAGGGAATCCCTTCCTAACTTGTCTGATGGAAAACTGTTCACTGGTACTATTGATAACTGTAGTATTTTCAATTCTAGCACTACTGATTCTTTGGCCGACTGGGTTCAGGATTTTCTTGCTGACGGGTTGCAGATAACAAACAAATTTAGAGATATAATAGAACGATGTTATGCGCAATGCAACATTATTACTGCACCAACCAGTTGGCATGAGGTGGACGTGGATGTTGACGATTATCATTTTTAAATATTCAGGACGTCAATCGGATAGTATCCATAAATGAACGGGCTTCACAATTCGAGATGGGAAAAATTGGCACAACTTCCCTTCCAACCTCTCACGTCTGATGATCTCTTCTGCCTTTCTCGATGCTATCTGACTTCTCCCGCTGACTCGCTCGTATCTCTCCTTTTTTTGAAAAACTATAAACGACGCGAGGACTATCGCACACAGGTGCAGAACCCCACAAAACGCAAAGTTCACATTCTACAAAAATATGAGCGTGATAATCCTGAATTAAACAATTTGCTATGAGTGAAAATAATCTGAATAACTGAGTATTAAAAAAATCCTAATAAGTTATTACTCTAATGATTTCGAATAATAAATATTCTCTATAACTGGAGTCTATCCCATTACAATCCTTCAGTAATACACTTGACCCTCTTCAGTAATGGTTAATTGTCATTCTTCATTCAGCTTGATTGATACTTATTGACTTATAATATAAGCTTCGAATTTTTGCAGTCCCACAAAATTCATATATGCAGTAAAAAAATTAACTCCGGTCGTTTGTGTCTCAATTTGTTGTTAGCCGTAGTCATATAGGAAAAAATGAGGGATTTCATGAATCACTCGAATTGTTGGCTGGATAATTCGGAGGTTTCGAATTTGGTCAGATTATTTGAAGGTTTAAGTGTGGTCAGAGCGTTGAAGCTTAATGATCTGATGTAAAAAATAATAAATAATAATAATAATAATAGCGGTTTCAGCGTTTAGTAGGCCGTAGGCCTGTCGCCGATTCTTAATATCGCAGAACATTCACAGAATTTTGAGGTCTCGAACTCGCAACTCACTGCTACGATTCCGCTATGCTTAACCGCCCGGCCTCCTTGCCGATTCTGACCAGAAACTGGCGCACAGAGCTGGGATCGAACCCGCGCCTCTCTAGTGCGTCAATCTTGGTACTCTGAACTTTAACCACTGGGCCACCCTGTGGTTAAATGCACTGAAGTTGAATGCACCGGGGTCAGTGGCATTGTAGTTTACTCGTCTTTCTAGATAAATTCCACTTCTTTTTCTAATAGAATGTCCAGAAAATTATTCACAAGGTAAAAATCGTGGAAATTATTGCAAAGCCTACCTAGGTAAATAGTTTTGGCAATGAAACCGATGCATTTGGTTTTATCATACAATATTTTCCTGGGTGACTTTTCCAGATCATTGAAAATTGTCTATGTATATAAGAAATGAATCTTGGGAGTTTGCATGCTGTAGGCCATCGGGAATATACAACTGCTCTTTCACTTTCATCAAAACAATTTTTCACAGCTTTGCAGCTTATATTCGTGCAATGTGTGTTATCTTCTATACGCACAGAAAATCTCTCAAGGGTGATAAGTCGTATTTGAGTGTGTAATATTGAGTAGGTATTTAAATTATTAGCATGAATGGTTCAAAATCTATTTGTTAAGTTCCATATAATTTTCTATTATATCGCAGTAAGCAGACTGATGACTATTTGATGAATTCTATTAAGACAAATTTTCTTTGCATAAGATGAAAATCTCATAGTTCATTCAAAATTATGAGAATTTTGCAAAATTACAAAAAAAAATTATTTTTCAAATTTGTTTTTTAATATCAAAATCTTGTAAATTTTCAAAATTATTTATTCTGTCAACTGATTCATGCATTGTCTCTGACTTTATGCAATTGTGAAAAATTTCAGATCGATTGAACAGGTCAAATTGTGTCATATATGGATAATAAGATCTGTAGCAGACGAAATTATTGTTAATTTTTTTTAATGAATTTTTTTTTAATTTATACATTACTTATTCTGTCAACTGATTCATGCATTGTCTCTGACTTTATGCAATTGTGAAAAATTTCAGATCGATCGGACAGGTCAAATTGTATCATATATGGATTATAAGATCTGTAGCAGACGAAATTATTGTTAAATTTTTTTTAATGAATTTTTTTAATTTATACATTATTTATTCTGTCAACTGATTCATGCATCGTCTCCAACTTTACGCAAGTGTGCAAAATTTCAAATCGATTGGACAGGTAGAAGTGTGTCAAAAATTGATAAGAAGATTTGTAGCTGACAAAATTATTTTTAATTTTTTTAATATTGAAAAAAAAAATCAATTTTTGAAATCATTTATTTCGTCAATTGATTCATGCATTGTCTTCAACTTTATGCAAGTGTGAAAATTTTCAGATCGATTGGACAGGTAGAAGTGTGTTAAATATCGATTATAAGATTTGTAACAGACAGACAGACAGACAAACAACAAGAAGTGAAGTTAAAGAGAAGTGTTGTGAAAAAGAGAATTAAGAAAGAAGGATTGGAGGAATGGGAGGAAATGACTGGAGGAAAGGGAGTAGAAAAGGTTTAAATTAAAAATTGAAATTGTATTTTGTAATTGGGTAATGTACATTTCTTTTTAAAAACGCAAGATATTTTTTCTATACTTTGAACCGAGAGTAAAATGGAAGTCATATCTTCCATATGTAAAATCTTGGTCTTGATGGGTTTTATTAAGGCAGAATATATAAGCTTTATAATTAGTAACGAATATTCAAGGCTGGCAATAACAAAGCCCGAGTAACGTCTAGCAAACCCGCTATTATTTAACATAATGATTAAAGGCTGTACCTGAAAAATTATAATGATAGCGGGGATTTTACCAATTCAGATGATTAGCGAGCGAGCATGAATAAAAACTGAAATATTTGTACGTTGCCTGTAATAAATTATAATCACTGGTATGCGAACATGAAACATTATAATTATCGAAAGGTGCCCTGGAAACCTTTATGACTTGTAAGCAGTTGTAATAAAGTATGATAGTTTTGTGCCTATGGGAACGAGACTTGTATAAAATTAAACAACAAAATCTGTAACAAATATAAGCATTGTGTAATAAATATAAAGCGGGTAACATACAATTCATTTTAGTATCTAACTGAGAAGTTTTCCCGCGGCTACAGCATTGCAGATCATGTAATGAACAGATATTCCCTAATAAGAAATAAGACTTCACTTAAGTCTATCATATATTATAATAAATAAATTAGAAGTCTTACTAATCACAACTCTAAATTTACGGACTCAAAATCTCGTAGGAATAACATTACAGACCATGGAATCCTCTTGATATCATCGCCTCTAAGCGCAGGCACCAATAAGTCGCCTATATATGTAATCTTATTAATGTTTGGTCGCTACAAATGGCTGACAAAATAGCCGGGCTTCAAACGACTCTGATTGAAAAATAATCAATCTAAATATCAAAAATCATGACAAGGACTAAATATCATGACAAGGATGAACTCCTTAACAAGATAGCTCAGATAACTCGCCGAGAAACAGACTGTGTAGGCATAAAGAATAAATAACTACAAGAAAAATGAATTGGTTATTGTCTGAATAATCATACACATTCTTACCCGCAGGGCGAGCAGGGAGTGGACGTGGCACGGTACGCTTTTTGCTTGGCTTTACTGGGTCAGGATGACCCACATGAAAATTCATAGCTTTTTGGACAAAGTCTCACTCATTACTACGAGTGAAGGATGAAGATGAGGCAAATGAGTATAAGAAAAAGTATTAGTAAAAGTAAGATGTGCAGGCTTTGATAATCAAATAATACTGATTACTCAATACTCATGCCTTAAATTAAACAAAGATCGTATGATGTAAAGTACTCACAAGATCCAACTTTATAATACACCAAATAACAACAATGGGGGAGCCAAAACAACACAATAACATCACCGTAACGAGTCTGAATACCTGACTTTATTCCTGAAGAGACCTGAACGTCGCAACACAGACGACGCTTGATAAATAGTTATGGTGAAAATTAGTTCAAATAACCTGTCCGTTAACTGATCGTATCTTCCATGTCGTATTACGCGACAAATGTTGAACAAGCGGTTTACATTAGCACTCATGACTGCAAATTAATGTTTCGGTACTGACCAATCAGAAACATTATAGAGTGACAGAAATGAATGACGATGAATGGCTGCATAAATTTTGTGTAATATTTTCTGTTTATGACCAAGCGTACATCAGGACGGGATGCTACGGAATCAAGGCATACGTTTAATTGTGCCGGAAATAACCTATTATTTTCAAACAACATTTATATGCCATAGTTCATGCTTTCCCTGTGAAAGAATCACCAAGGTTGTGTGGTGATGTGATGGTCTGCATAACAAACAAAGATCTATTTGTTCATAATTGGTTTTCACATCTTATAAATGAATTAAAAAAAGATTATGGTCATAGGAACTAATTTCTTAGAGCGAAATGAATTTGCCAGGGGCAAACAGTTCCGGCCGACTTCCGACGCGTTCACTCATTCCATATTCACTAATTTTTCAAGCATCCATTCGTCACGTCATTCGTCGCAGACTCTGTAGAAGAACAAATTGATCTCGACGAAAGAGAGACCGACGTGTGAAGGAGGCATGTTGCAGAGGTTCACCTGTCAGAAGAACTCAAAATAAGGAACACGAGATTCAAAAAAAATTATTTACTTTTCAATTATTAGGATACTTTTATCGCACGAAAAAAATTCTTTGAATCAAATACCGTGCGATGGCGAAAAATATTTAAAAAGGTAAAATTATCTCTCAGAGAGCGGCAAATGGATCTTAGTATAAGAACTCATGCCTGAATGTCAATCACAACCTAATTTCGCATATAAATCATTTCGGAAAATACCATAAAGGAACTTAGGTTAGTTTACTCTTTTTGAAGAACTCGCACCCGACATCTACTTCGGCATAGTTGAACTATCGCTAATGAATAAAAATAATAAATTAATAAACTAATAACTAAAACTAATACTATAGTTCAACCATGTACTTCTGTATCTCAGAGCTATCAGACAGTTTAATCTATAGTGTAATTAATAGTTTTAGTCGCAAATAAGAAACAAATTTATTGTTTAATAAGCGAGCAACGATTCTACGATAAATGATGTGTGTACTTACGTCCATTACCGGAGCACTTGGTAGCGGCAACCTGATTGGATAAGACACGCGCTGCCACAGACCAACATCAGCCAATAGGAGCTCGAGAGGCGACCTTACGGTAACCGTAGGATACGGTAGCGGAACCCACGGAAAAGTGCACAACTCGGGGACAAAGCCAGTGTCGTTGTAGGACGGGCAATAGGAGGGTGTCGCCTCGCACTCCGGGCTGGAAAACCTGAAAATAGTAGGATACAAATATATATTAATACATATGTTTTTATTTTCGGCTAAATACAAAACAAGTTGGTTATTGTCAATCGATCTTTAGTATTGAATCACTAATTGCATGATTCCATGAGTATGAATTCAAGTTTGCTGGTAAGAGAAGCGGAATTCAGGTGAAGTTGGTTTAAATTATTAAGGAGGAATGTGGGGTTTAGGAGCCATCGAATTTCATTAATGACATTTTTTCCGTTCAGCATCCACAACCACGAGTAAACCAAGGTAAGCGGTTGAAGTGTAAGCTTTTTAGAAGTTTTCCTACTCGTGTGACCGTGAATTTATAACATTTTGTGGGTTCCAAGTTTTATTGATGGTTGTTGATATTTTAATTCTTATAAATCAAACAACAAAGGACCAAATAGTTTTTACCAGTCTTTATCATTCCATAAGATAAATCATACGATATTCGTGCCCAGCTGAAATATACAAGGTCTATCTTCTGCGATGGTGCCAAACAGTAATATGATGGAGGTATGCCGCGTTCAGTACCTTCAGAGTACATGTATATACATATGCTGATTTACAAATTAAAGGTAAACTGCTTCCAGGGCTAATTTTAAATTAACTATCGCGAGTAAATTTCTGTACCAAACTTGTTCTGTCTATCTTTTTTTGCTCTAATCTGCCTCTCCGAATTCAAAGTGAGAAGCTTCATTCAAAAAATGTATAAATCAATTTTGATAGGTTGCAACGTAGTAACTCAGGTGAATTCAGACGGTGACAGCTGATAAATGATTACATTAATGCTTTGGTTACCACAGGTATTTTGTGAATGTAAAGCAGAAGCTAATAAAAGATAGAACACGTTAATGAAACAGGTCTCTGAAAGGATATGTTGTGAATAACTCACGTGAATGATAAGGTGAGGTTGACGTTACTCATGAACTTTGAGAGAGGAATGGCGTAGGTTCTGTTAACAGAGGAGCTGTTGAGGCACTCGTCAAGGCTGACGTCGCTTGTGTTCATGCAGTAGAGGTGGTTAATGGTCGCGTCGAATTCCACTATGGTGATCACGGGATGGCATGGCTCTGAAACTTAACTTAGCATAATTTAACTGAGTAGAACTTAAATGAGTGGAGCTTTACTGAGTAGAACTTGATAAAATATTAATCAATAAAACTTTGCTTGGAATAACTTAACTTAAGGGAAGCATATCGGTCAAAATCGAGAATTTTGACTTTTCCGGTTTCTAGTCTCATCTTAAAGCTGGCATTTTGACCTATCCAACGGTACGAAAACCATCTCGGTACGTCGATTTGTGCGTTCACGGCAGATCCCGAAGGGTGGGGGGTGGATGGAGCCCCTTAACAAAACCCTATGTGAATAATTCCGTCCGGGATCTATTAATGTGCAGTCTGTGGTCTCGCACCTCAGTCAGCCACGAGCTGTCATGCTGGAAGGTGTGCATGTAGTCGTTCTCTGCATCGCTGAGTGACTTCAGAGTGAAATAACGCTTACCTTTGGTATCCAAGTTACGTTATATGCCTTTACATAGCGCGCGCGCCGCCAGTCGGCGGTTTTTCGGCTCTCCCGCAAACCTCCTACTGCTCTCACGGGAAACCTATCTCCTCCTAGAGTTTTGAAGCTACAGCAATGAAAGATATACCGTTCGATTTGTCATGAAAAGATCTAGCGATTGCCAAGCCATTTTTTTCGTTTTAGTTTGGATTATATATTGCAAAATGGGGGGGGGGAATTTCGAAAATTCGAAATTTTTCAGAAAAATCATTACAGCAATAATAGAATCAGGAAAAAAATTGAAAAAGTGACTCGACAATCGCTAGATATTGTCTTTGCCAATCGAATGATATGTCAGTCAATGTTGTGGCACGTAAATTTTATGATGCATTAAATTTTCTAAAGTACCCCCTTTTTGGCCGGTTTCTATGAATTTCACGTTTTCTTTCATTTTTTCGAAAAATTCACATGAACAAAATAGTCGTCATTTTCGATTTTACATATGTGTACCAGGTTTGGAGATGATCCTTCCCTGAATATAGAAAATAGATTTGACCGATATGCTCCCCATAAAAAAAACTTGATTCAGCAAAACATAACTTAGTAAAACTTGGCTTAACAATAGTCATTGAATTATAGTACTTATCCTCTAGTGCGATGTACACAATATAAACTGCAAGGTATGTATATTGTATGTACAATATACATACAATATAAACTGCAAGGAAACTTAATTAACAGGATTGGATACATGCAATAACTGACATATGTGTCACAGTTTATTAAATGCTAGAGGCGCCGGCGTTCAGAATCACAGCGTTGCCTTCATTATAATATAATAATAATAATAGCGGTTTCAGCTTTTATTGGGCCGTAGGCCTGTCGCCGATTCTTAACATCGCAGAACATTCACAGCATTTGAGGTCTCGAACTCGCAACGCACTGCTACAATTCTGCTGTGCTTAACCGCCCGGCTTCCTTGCCGATTGAATTTGTTTGATTGCCCATTGATTGAATTGTTAACAAAAACCTTGCGTATTGTTGGTTTACTAGATCATTGTAGTGATAGAGGGCGTTACCAAGTTTTGAAGACATTGGAGGGGCGAAGCTTCTTAAATTTATGACTATATTTAAGTTAATATTGATTGTATGATTATTTATTTCAACTTATTTTCAGACCATATTATGATGAATTTGTTGGCATTTTTTTGCAAAGAAAAATAAGTTTTATGAATGAACATAAAATTATATTGATTGTCTTAAGAATTTTTTAGTGGGCTGAAAACCACTAAAATGAGTCTAATGACGCTACTGTAGAGGCAACAAAAACATGGTTCCATTGTCCAAACTTCTTAATTTCATCTAAAAACATTTCCTGTTATGTCGCCGCCTGCATTTACTCGAAGTTATGATGCATATAGCGAATAAATGCGATGTAACATATTGTCTCTATAAATGTGACGCATGAGATATACTCACGTTGCTGGCTGTTCTCGCTGCCATCGTCAGAAAGCGATAGTGATACCATGCCAATAGATCTCCTTGACCTGGACGTATCTTGCACTTCATCTTCATGGTCACTATTGTGGCGAGAAGCGGAACGTGTTGCCGACAAATCCGCCACGTGTAGACCAGGAGTTGAGTTGTAATTTACAAATTGATGATCCGTAAATTGAAAAGCCGATCTGATATTAGGAATTCTAGAAGCTCGTTTGCCGTAGTCACGAATTGGAATTACTATGCTATTGTTAAATATATTTTTTGATGATCCACTCCTCCGAAACCCTAGAATCGAATGGTCGCAATTCGGAGCTATCACATGTGAAGCTAAATGCCTCCTATAACGCCTCTTCCATTTGGTACTTTCATATCTCAAGAGACGATTCTTATAAAGTTTTTGTTTAGGGTGTACATGCTTGCCGCTGGACACATCGCGCTTACTAATCGTCTGCTTGATCTTCCGCGTGCGGGAAGGTTGGTACTCTCCCTGCCGTGCGCGGTGGCGGGAAAATATCCCATAGTGGGCATTTGCTTTCTTGCTCGGCAGCGGCTGCAAGAACAGTATATTGTTCATGGTGAGATGAGCTCTGAACTGAGATTAGTAATATTTCCATTGTTATAAACACCTATGAACACCGTTCATAGTAAGAATGTGCGGAATATAGTGGTTGAATATTCTAAATTAGGGCAATTGATCCGTGCAGAATAATAATCAGAAAACATACACATTCACCAGTGTAGGCTATGAAGAAATATGCTAATGTTCTAAGCAGTCATTAAATATAAATAATGTACGTTTAAAAATTACTTTTTAAAGAAAACACTTCTAAAGAATCCAGTGTCTCCAATGTTAAAGACGTAAAATGAATTTCTCATTCTATTTTTTAATATTAAAAAAATAATATTTCAATTTTTTCAATATATAAAATATTTTTTAAAAATTATTTATTCTGTCAACTGATTCATGCATTGCCTCCGACTTCACACAAGTGTGCAAATTTTCAGATAAATTGGACAGGTAAAAGTGTGTCAAATATCAGTTATAATATTTGTAGCTGACAAAATAATTATTTCAATTTTTTTAATATAAAAAAATTAATTTTTAAAATAATTTATTTTGTCATATGATTCTTGCATTGTCTCCATCTTTACGCAAGTGTGCAAAATTTCAGATCAATAGGATAAGTAGAAGTGTGTTAAATTTTGATTATAAGATTTGTAGCAGACACACAGACAGGCAGACAAACAAACAAGAAGTGAAGTTAAAGAGAAGTGTTGTAAAAATCGTGATTACCTTGAACCTGATGGACTCATATTCATCAGCGGCCTCTCGGGAAAAGTTATCTGGGTCGCTGGTTGACAGCTTGTTCGTTATCAATGCTGAGTCCAAATTGCTGCTGCTGATGGGCTCCAGAGATAACACGGAAGTTCCTGAAAAAATATTGTTTGGGTAGATAAAATGATTCCATGAAAACTGAAAAACATTATCTCTTTTCCAACTGATGATATTGATCTCACTTTATGAACTCCTACTGTCAATGACTCACACTTCACGTCACTTGCATCATCACTTTACTCGGTTGCCTAAGGTATAAACGATGTAATACATATGTAATAGAAATAATTTTATTGTGTTTTTGATTTAAGCAAATTAAATGTGTTATTTATTTAATGTAATTATAAAATTGGTGTCAATTCTTTTGATAAGATATGTTTTCTGACTGATGATGGCGACTTAAATTACGATGGTGACTCAAGTATCATTGACGTAAGGTTTAGGTTGTATTCGCGTTAGATCAGGACTGCGTTTTCTTACGACGTCCCCTCAACGTAATTTTTTTACTGAATTCTTGCTTTAACGCCTATTTTTTAAAGCCTATTCTGTCATAGGCGTCAGCCACACAAGTCTGCATGGATGTTCCCTCTTCAATTCCCCGGAGAAACTGAGGATTAAACTTCGCTTGTTTCGCGCCACATTGAACTAACAATGCCGAAAGTGTATGAAACAGCAGATATGATGATTTAGCATAAATACAGAACCTTGCAAGGCATAAAGTTGGCGAGCGATACAAAATTGGTGCGCGCCAAAATGCATAGTATTTGAATAATGCACAGTCATGTTCATCAACGCTGACACTTGTGAGAGACTCAAGAGATTTCTTGAGGCATATTAATTTCGGCTTGAAGGAGCTTAATGCGCTACTAGGCTATGTATACTCGTACCCTGAAGGAGCATACTGCGCCACTAGGCTACGTATACTCGTACCCTGAAGGAGCATACTGCGCCACTAGGCTACGTATATACGTACCCTGAACACGGTGGCTGCGCGTCACGAGCACGTAAGGTATGGTGGCGGTGGTGCGCAGCGGTTGCCGCATCCAACTTCCAGCACTGTCGCCAACGCAACATCGTATCTGCTCGTGTACAAATATTACATTATTCACCTTCAATTTCAAATTATGAATCGATATGAATGATGCTGAAGAAAGTGTCAAAAACACTTCATAGGTTAAGTTAACTAGGAACTATTTGATTGACCAAGTTTACCTATCTGATTTCGAAATATTTGCTTGATCGCAAGGAATATATACATGGCGACTAGGCATATGGTCCATCGCCGGAACTACTCCAAATACCACTTCAGTTTATTGTTAATATGTACGTAAAGTGAAAATAAATTCAAACGTATAAAGATCCAGTAGGGAAAGATCCGATCAGAAATGCAACCCGGGGAATACATTGGAGACGCATTCCATTATCATGCACTAGAAACACATGACACATGCAATGGATGGGTTAACACTGCGCACCGGGCAGTTGGTGTCGTCGATGATGGCAGCGTCGCAGTCTGGAGGCTTGCCCAGCACTGGGGGGCGCACGGGCTGGTAGGGACTCACGGTGCTGCTGGGGCCCTCTGACGGTGCCCCAGTCGACCTCCTGCTGGGCCACATGCAATTTAAATTATGTAAATTGCTTTTAGACACGTTTTGTGCAATATCTATTATTTTGGCCTTATGTACGTAAATTACTTTCACGTTTGTTATGCAATATAAAATATAGATGTTCGAAATGTCTAAATTGCTCTTTAATATCGTCAGACTGCATAGTTTTACAACGTTCTAATCTAACCGAATCAAGATAAAAATGTACTACTGAAATTTAACACGGGTAATTATGTTATAAAATATTCAACATAAGTTCTAAGTACCTGAATTGCCTTCAATTATGTTCGGAGATACTAAATAAAATATAGAACGATCTCCATTTTATCATATTATATAATATTAAATAACATTGTATTGTCAATATTAACAACTTTATATTCAACAACATTAGTGCGTTTGCCATCGATACCCACGTAGTGAATTGGGAAATGGTTGAAGTCGTGTCAGGTTGAGTAGAAATCGGAGCGGTGGTGCTGGGGTTGAAGTATGGGGAGGAGAGGTTGAGCGGTATGGAGGTTGTGTAGCTTAGCGAGGTTGTAACCTCAAAAATCCTTGAAAAAGTTGAAACGTTAGCAGCGAAGCCTCTTATGTTACTTCTTCAATTTAAGTCATGAGAACTACAATAATATCAACATTTATTGACAGTGAATAGCAATAGATACTTAATAATAATAATAATAATAACTTATCACAACAATATGAAGTGGAGATCACTCACTCAGTGGTAACGTCATCGTTCTGACTTCTGCGGTCGATGTAATCCATGATGTAAATGGCGGCCATCGCCAGCAGGCTGCGCCATCATTTAAACATTCATTAATCCACGTCATTCAATATAACCAAAAAATTACAGCAAATTATTGATTGAATTATTGATTGAATTACAGCAAATTATTGAATTAACAATTGATTATTCAGAAGACAATTATTCAATGCATCCTTCAAATGTTTGATTTTGTACCGAAGAGTGAGACGGTGTAGGAGTAGTGAGTACATGAATAGTTTTGAACACCACACTGACCTCTCAAGCCTCCTGCAAACCTCCATACCATAATATTTTACAACACAGAAGCGTCAATGAACTTTCGCACCATAACCCGGTGAAACTACTAATTAGCAAGGTTACCACGTACCATAACACAATGAAACTCATACCCGGCCTGGTTACCACGTAATAATACTATGCGGCAAGGGTACCACGGTAAGGTTCTCGCGTTCCAACCGCTCATCAAGTCAGATTCACGCACCGCGGGATCAATGGTGTCAAATAATTTAGTCCGAACTGACGCAAGAAATATAGACTAAAACGAGCTCGATAACAAGAATAATGAACAGCAAGATTACAGTATGAGAATACACGGTTGCAACGACAGAGTGATGATGTCGAAATCGACAATGAAAATACATTTAGAGTTAATATCGACAATGAGTTGAAATTTTCCAAACATATTGAAGGTCAAATTAATAAAGACCTCATTGGTCTTTACCCGCGGGGACCTCATTGAAGCATACAAGTATACGCATGGCTTATACAAGGTCCCAGAAGGATTACTAGAATTTGAAACAAGAACCAACACCAGGGGCCACGGCTATAAACTAAAAAAACTGCGTTATAACACATCCATGCGACAAAATTTCTTCTCGCTTCGAGTCACCGACATGTGGAACATGCAGCCTCCCTAGCTGATTGCGGCGTTGGCGCTCCGAGTATGAACGCCTTCAAGAATATACTAGACGAAGCTATGCAGGAGCATATGTTCAGTCTTGAAATGCCTGGCAAATTACGGACCAGGCAATAAGTCCAGCAGCTATCTCAATCAATCGTCAGTTATGGAAAGATCGGGTTTCAAAGGCCGGATCCCTTGTGAATCAAGTAACGAAAAATTCAAGAATCGGCAACAGGCCATGGGCTTATTTTCTTCAATGCCGACACTTCTATTCTATTCTATCCTAACAGCAATATGGTGCAGTACGTCCACCTCAACACACATCACTTCACTCACCACAGAGCCATGATGCACACCAGCACCACGGTGGTCATCTGCAGGGTCTTGTTGGTGCAGTGCTCGGCAGACGCTGGGTCGTTGTGTGGTGCTGGCCGCCGCTTGTTGGCCGTGTTGGGGCAGCTGCTGCTGCTCTTCGTGCAGCCTGGGAGGGGGGCGGTGAGAGTATTGCATTCAATAGAGTATTACTATTAAGGGGTATTAACTCTTATACCCAATATATATGTACGGGTCGCATCAGCCTATATATAACTTTTATACCGAATACTCCAGGAGGGCTAATGCTACCGTGATAATTCTTACACTTAATGGAGAAGATATAACAAAGAAATTTGTTTTTAGGTTTATATAATAATTAGGTTTTGCAAGTCAAGGTTCAAAAATGTGAACATTGAACTCGTGGTCACCGGTTATTGAAGACACTTTCTCGGGGCCAGAGACGCGGGAGGCGGCGTCGCTCCTGGAGGAGCCTGACACCAGCGACGTGCCTGCGAGATAAACGAGCACCGAATGAGGCTAGCGACTTGATGTCGCTCAGGATATGGGAGCTGCAACCAAGATTACGAGACTTGATGTTGTTCAGGATATGAGAGCTGCAACCAAGATTGCGAGAGTTAATGTTGCTCAGGATATGAGAGCTGCAACCAAGATTGTGAGACTTGATGTTGCTCAGGATATGGGAGCTGCAACCAAGATTGTGAGACTTGATGTTGCTCTGGACATGGGAGCTGCAACCAAGATTGTGAGACTTGATGTTGCTCAGGATATGGGAGCTGCAACCAAGATTGTGAGACTTGATGTTGCTCAGGACATGGGACCTGCAACCAAGATTGTGAGACTTGATGTTGCTCAGGATATGAGAGCTGCAATCAAGATTGTGAGACTTGATATCGCTCAGCAGGGGAAATTTGCAACCAAGATTGAGTGATGAAATCGCTTCTTTTTAGTGAATTTATGATATAAAGACGTTTAAAACTATTATTTTAATGGTTAATGAATATTGATAGTATAGTAATCTTATTTATTTGACAAAAAATAACCAATTAATTAACTTCAATCAATTAATGTTGAATGTATTAGGAGAAAATTTAATGGCATGAGGTTATGATGAACCAAATTAAGGCTTGCAAGCAATGATCAATACAAGATGGTAGTTGAATGAACGGAGAGATGGAAAGATATGAAATTTTGATGTAGTCTCTATAGACAATGCTGATGCTATAAAAAATAAAGAACAGTACTAACAAATAAACCTCCACACATATATACAATCATATAGACTTGTATTGATATATAGAAACAAATAGACTGGTATGCATATGTATATACAAACGAAGTTCAATATACCTAAATGAAAAAGGATAATAGGGAAATGAGCTACCTCTATAATAAGAAATTAAAAGAAATTAGTAGGAAATTGGTGATTCCTTTTTTCAAAAAAAGGAAAGTTCTATTGATTTTTTCAGAAAATTCGTTATATTTAAGAAAGAAAACTTTCATAAAAAATGTTGTTAAATAATTATTCAAAATGTCACGGAGGTCGCGGGACATACATCCATGAGAGGCAGGACTCACTGGTGCTCCTGAGGGAGGCACAGGAGCGGCGGCTGTCATGTCTCCTGACACGCGCAATTTGTTGGCTGATTTTCTCGAGCTCGTCTATCCTGTTCTCCAGGTTGTCGGTTACCTTGCAGAGCTCCTTGACGGCACCTACGTTCTCCATGTAAAGGCGGTCCTAAGGTTGGCAAACAGTCAGAACAAGAACTATTGTAATTTTTGTATCAATGTTTGAAATGATAAAGTGATATTGTTGCTGAGCTTCTCGACCGAGCCTACGTTCTCCATGTAGAGGCGGTCCTAAGTTCGATTAACCATCAGAACAAGAGCTAATGTGATTTTTATATCAATATTTGAAAAAAAATATAAAGTTATATTATTGCTGAGCTCTTCGACCGAGCCTACGTTCTCCATGTTAAGGCGGTCATAAGGTTGGCAAACAGTCAGAACAAGAACTATTGTAATATATATATATCAATGTTTAAAAATTTAAAGTAATATTATTGTCGGGCTCCTCGACCGAGCTCATATTCTCTATGCACAGCGGTCCTGTGGGTTTGGTCATGAAGTACAAGCGCCATGAGGTAGAATGGGAAATGCATTGAGAAGGCAACAAAGAACAAATTATCCATTAATAGAACTTGCATGGCAAAAGGCATGGAACAACGACTTCAAGATGCTTTGGACTCTTTGAAAGCATTGAGGTGGTACAGCTCCCCATTGAGGTGGTACAGTTCCCCATTGATGCAGCACAGCCCCCATTGAGGCAGCACAGCTCTCCATTGAGGCAGCACAGCTCCCCATTGAGGGACCACAGCCCCCTTACCTTATTGACAACCAGGAAATTCTCAATCTTGTTGCCGTCGGCGAGCAGAACGTCTCCTTTGCTCCCCACAGCGTCAGGCAGGACCTTCTCCACCTCCTGCGCGATGACGCCCGTGTCCCAGAGTCGCTCCAGACGGGCGGGTCTCGCGAAGTCTTCCCTGTACTGATACTTGACCACCCGCAGGCTCTGCACGTTCCGGAGCTGTTCCTGGGTGTCCAGCTGCGGCCAAACACTTCATTACCATGAAAATACTTTCATTACCAAATATCCTGAGCAACATCACATATGCAACAAACAATCAATATAAACACTTTCATTACCATAACACATACAACAATCAATCAATATAAACACTTTCATTACCATAACACATACAACAATCAATCAATATAAACACTTTCATTACCATAACACATGCAATAAACAATCAATATAAACACTTTCATTACCATAACACATGCAACAAACAATCAATATAAACACTTTCATTACCATAACACATGCAACAAACAGTCAATACAAACACTTTCATTACCATAAAATATGGAACAAACAATCAAAATAAACACTTTCATTAACGTAACACATATAACACACAATTAAAATAAATACTTTCAATACCATAACACATAAAACAATAGATCAATAAAACACTTTCATTACCATAACATAACACATGCAACAAACAGTCAATATAAAAACTTTCATTACCATAACACATACAACAAACAGTCAATATAAACACTTTCACTACCGTAACACATACAACAAACAATCAATATTCTCTATAACCTCGTGCATAATAGAAACATTATTGTCACGCGTTGTCACTTCTAAGATCTGCAAGTTTCAGCGCTGTTGCTCATGGGTGTCGAGGCGCGACCAACTATCTTCCTCAAACAAGACAAATAAGAAACATAAAATAAATCAATATTTCTGTATTGGCTGGCACTTCCACAACAAACATTTACCTGTGGTCACCTCTTTGATGTGGGCCGTGGCCCTAGCGTCGGAGGGGTGCAACAAAATAAAATAAATTAATATTCTGTATTACGTTCATAATAAACATCTAAGTGTCTAACGTCGTCACCTCTTCGATGTGAGTCTTGTTCATAACAAACATTCAAGTGTGGTCACCTCTTTAATGTGGGTCTTGGCCCTAGCGTCGGAGGGGTGCAGTAGTATTTAAATTTTAAAGTCATCAGTTAAATCCATATGCTGTATTGGCACGTCCATAACAAACATTTACGTATGGTCACCTCTTTGATGTGGGTCTTGGCCCTAGCGTCGGAGGGGTGCAGGAGGTGCCCTGTGAGTCTGACGTTGCCATGGACTGTCAGCGCCTCGTCAGGACGGTCGGTGTTGATGCCCACGCGGCCGACGTGGTAGAGGCTGTCGGGCGCCGCCCCTCGTACGAACGCTTGCTCCACGTCACTCTCGAACTGACCAGGGTTACTTGCCTGCGCCACGTATGTCATATATGGTAAGGAATACTGCATATAATAATTAATACATTAGCCAATGAATTATGTTAAGTAAATGACAAAACAATATAATTCATTTATTAACAGTAACCATTCCATATAAACAGTAACTGTAAATATATGAATTCCTTTTAAACGGTAAGATAGTGATAAAAATACTATGTAATACGGTACAATACATATTGGTAGCTTAACCTATTGTGGATTTGACTTAACAAATTCTTTTACTGGAGCTTAATTCCTCTTGCCGGACATTTTTTTGATACAGTTACAGTGTTATATAATCATTTAATAGTTGAGTAATTGAACTGAGATTGCTATTGAAGGTCCTGAACCCTGCTATTGAAGAACCTAAACCCTGCTATTGAAGGACCTGAACCCTGCTATTGAAGGACCTGAACCCTGTTATTGAAGGTCCTGAACCCTGCTATTGAAGGACCTGAACCCTGCTATTGAAGGTCCTGAATCCAGCTATTGAAGGCCCTGAACCCTGCCATTGAAGGCCCTGAACCCTGCTATTGAAGGACCTGAACCCTGCTATTGAAGGTCCTGAACCATGCTGTCCCTGCTGTTGAAGGTCTGAACCCTGCTGAACCCTGCTATAAGATCCTGAACCCTGCTATTGAAGGTCCTGAACCCTGCTATTGGAGGTCCTAAACCCTGCTATTGGAGGCTCTGGACCATGCTGACCCTGACGATGATGTTGCCAGAAGCCCTGCTGACGACGGTGAGCACAGCCTCCCCACTGACCGCCTCCAGGGCGACCACGAGCCTGAAGAAGCGCTGCTCGGGGTTGGGCTTCCCCTTCTTGCGCATATTATTGTGCGTCGTCTCGGAGAAATGCAGCCGCACAACTGTTTCCCGAGACACCCGGTCCGCCACTAGCTCAAGCCTGAAGGACGAGGCACTAAAATTACAATCTATAATGAAGAAATATCAGTGTTGACGATTTCGAACATGAAAAAATGTTCATAGCTTCCTACGGGTCTCGAACTCGAACCTCACTGCGGTTTCATCTTACTGTGCATAAACGCACGACCACCTTGCCGGTTTCGACAAGAACTTTCCCAGTTCGCTGCGGGTTTCAAACCCACAACTCGCTGCTTCAATCTTCGAGATCATAAGCACTCGGCCACCGTATTTGTTTAGGTCAGAGCATTATTTCGGACAAATTGCAGTCGTTGGCTCTTTGAACTACTGTATTAAAATTGACATCAATGTCATAATGACACTTTCAACCAGGCAAACATGCGCGATTATATGGAGATGAAGGATTTATAAACAATATACTGACTTTATTTCAGTAGAAATAATCGAATAATGAATAGCAGGGCACTTCTTCAATCATATGGCAAGATGTTCTTTCCGAGAGAAAATATTTTAAGACAAAATAGTAATTATTACCATGCGAACCAAGACTACTGTTACGGAGGCAGTGAATGATTACTTTTTTTAAACTAAATCACGAGTATTCGCCTATTACCTACTACATAAGAAAATTTTTGAGGCCGCTCCATGATGAATAATTTCAACTAAAAACATGGAATTTTATCCCGAAAACTGATAGCTTGTTTATTTTAAAAAGAGTTAGCCTACCCAGAAATCCTGGGGAATTAAAAAAAAAACTTTTATAAATGATCAAAATAATACCTTAATAACTTGTATTTTTCCAGCAAAGTCACAGATTATCGAATCACCATAGATACCAAAATGATCCTTAGCAAGAAAAAACTTGCAACAGCAGGTTTTTAGAAACATTGACTCGAACAGAATTATCCAGAAAAGTTAATAAATACCAAAGAGAAATGATGAGCATTAACCCACGGTTTATACAAGGTCCCAGAAGAATTACTAGAATTTGAAACAAGAACCAACACCGGGGCCACGGCTATACACTAAAAAAACTGCGTTGTAACACATCCATGCGACAACATTTCTTCTGGCTTCGAGTCACCGACATGTGGAACAGCCTCCCTGATAGCATCGTTGACGCTCCGAGTATGAACGCCTTCAAGAACAGACTAGACACTAGGCGAAGCTATGCAGGAGCATATGTTCAGTCTTAAAATGCCTAGCACCTTACGGACCAGGCAATAAGTACAGCAGCTATTTTAATCAATCGTCAGTTATGGAAAGATCAGGTTCCAAAGGCCGGATCTCTTGTGAATCAAGTCACGAAAAGTACAAGAATCGGCAACAGGCCATGGGCCTATTTCTTCAGTGCCGACACTTTTATTCTATTCTATTAACCTGCGAGGGTGGAAAGTCTATTACGGACGAGGCAATAAGTACAGCAGCTATTTTAATCAATCGTCAGTTATGGAAAGATCAGGTTCCAAAGGCCGGATCTCTTGTGAATTAAGTCACGAAAAGTACAGGAATCGGCAACAGGCCATGGGCCTATTTCTTCAGTGCCGACACTTCTATTCTATTCTATTAACCTGCGAGGGTGGAAAGTCTTCTTGCTCCTGTCGCTCTGGCTCTGCTCCACTTTGATCTTCTGCTCCAGGTTCTCACTGCGGACTCCGTAAAAGTTCAGCTGGAAGTGACTGAGCGGCAGCGTCTTGTCGTCCGCTCTCGCGTAGTGAGGCGACGCTAGCACCTGTTTCGTTTAGCAGGTTACTTATAATAAAAAAAGCACCTGTTTCATTTAGCAGGTTATTTATAAGAGCAGATGTGCTGTGGGGAGATTGGCGAGGAAGACTAAATAATTCCCTTCGCAACTTTGACAATATTTATGCCAATAAACTAAAATTAGTATTGCAAAACTTAGTTTTGAAAATAGTCAAGGGTAAATAATCATAGAATAAAATTAACATGGGGACAAATGAATATATCGTTTGAAAAGAATACTAATGATTCGTTTATCTTTTGAAAAGAATACTGATCAGGTTCAAACTTTTCAAACACATTTGAATTTCACGATACTCAATGTTGTCGAGGATTTACTTACTCAGACAGCGAAAAATATATCTCAAAATAATCACGAATTTAATCAATTAAATTCTGTAACTTTTTTTACAAAATAATTCACTGAGATTTTTTGACAATCTCTGTCATGACAAATATTCCAAGAACTCACCTCAGCCTGAATGGAAATTTGGAAGTGATTTTTCTTCTGGCACACGAAGGCGTCGTCGACCGCGGAGAATGTGAAGCCCTTGTCAGCGCTCACGTCCAGCGTCGGCGGCGGTCTGAACGTAAACAGTAGAAAATGATTGACATCTGGTCTACATACACGTTATCTACAGACATATTAACCGTTGTCAATGCTATTTGTTGATATCTGGACTACAGACACATCTACAAATACATTAACCATAGTCAACGCTATTCGTATCTTAAGTACTCGAAACGAGACTTGCACTTTGTGGGAAAAGGGTTCACCTTTAGTCTACATGCTAGTATATTGCTCTTCGTCACGACTATCAGCAACTAAAAGCACGGCAAAGACAGATATTAATAGTGTAGGATGCTCTTCGTCAAAGGATGCTCTTCGACAAAGGATGCTCTTCGTCACGACTATTAGTAATTAAAAACATGACAATGACAGATATTATTATCTAAAACGTGTTAACATTTCACTTCTATAACACTAAAGTTTCTTTTTCTTACATCTGTTGAGTGGCGGCATCAAGGAGAGCGCACCACGTGGCCGGCTGGAAGGGGACGAACTGAAGGCTATGCTGGGCGCCATAGTCGCAGTCATGAACGCTGCCTGACCCAGGGTCTCTTGAGTGATCTTCTGAGGTCGTCGACATCGACGAGTCTTGATTCATTTGCTCCAGACCACCATGAGAAAATAGACCCCCGTTGCTAGAAGGCTTTTGTGACGTGATGCTAGAAGATGCTTGGTGATCGCGAGAAAAATTGGGATTCTGACATCCGTAGCGAAAGCGTTCATAATCAGGCAGTGATGAATTACCGAGGTATTTCTCATTTACTGTAATGGAACGCAAAGCTGGAGAAGACAATTGTTGTGTGACAGACGCCACACGTCCGACGTTACACGAGCTCTGGTAATCTACAAGATTTTCGGTGTAATCTATGGAGGTGGCGCCCAGATCTGTCGTTCCTGACTTAACAGCTCGGGTGACATCGAACTGAGTATGAATTCTGTGATCCAAGAGCGAAATATGAGCCGCAGGCATGGAGAGGCTTGGCGTCCGAGTAGGACCCGATGTGCCCGTAGGACGCGGCGGAGCCCCGGCGGTGCCAGGCAAGGATTCATTGGCATATCCGCGGCTCGGAATTGACAGAGGAGAAATTTTAGAGATGCTTACAGCTTGTGAATCTGGAAGTTTATAGACATAATTAAAAATAAATATTTCTTGTCACTTGAAAATCTACGAACATAGTTTCATTTCAATCAAAAGTCATTTAAAGTTTCAATCAAGTGTTTCAATCAAAAAGTCATTTAAAGGCACACTATTTCAGCAAAATGAGTATTACTGTATAAACAATAGTTCTACCTCCATGGGTCGTTCACGAAAGTATATCATAATTCTGAGTTTTCATTTTAAATAAAATAATTTAATTGGAAGAAGGTCCACGTAGAAGATCTTTACAGTATTTTTAGTAAACATTATTGTCGTATTTTCTCTCACCAGCAGCAAGAGACCCAAACTTCCTTTGGTACTAGTGTTAGAATGACGGGCTCGAGCTCACTGCAAGCCTACTGCTCGTAAGGAGACAGGGACATTCTAACAACTATTCGAACTTGGGTCTGCCCTTCTCTTACTTTGGATGTGCCCTTCTCTTACTTGGGTCTGCCTTTCTCTTACTTGGGTCTGCCCTTCTCTTACTTGGGTCTGGGCCGTCCTCTTTGCCGCATGCGCCGGTCTGCAGACCGATCACCTCCCCAGCCTCCCCCCGTCGCCTCTTCGTAGCGGGGTGAGGTGAGGCATCAGCTGTGACTGCTAACAAGTAATTCATAATCATTCTTCAGAGCTTATAGATTATGCCATTGAAATAGTGTCAGTTGATGATGGTACTTATGAATAAACTTAGGAAGTAGATTATATCGACATCTTGAAGATCATAATCAATGAAATTTCCATTTCTTTAGCTAAACAAAATGAAGTTAAAACTATAACAGTTGCTCTCTCCTGTGATCCAAAATTTCCAAAAATGAATACGATTTCTACAGATTTTATACGAAGATTTATGACTCACTAGGTCGGAGGGAGAAGTGGGGGGTGAGGGGGGAGAGGGGCTCAGACCCCGAATCGGGGGGACTCTCAGGCAGGGCGTGGCTGGGGATGAAAATGTCAACGAATGATTATTCGGGGGAATGAAAGCGAATTAATTAATTGTATTTGGGAAATTTCAAGGTTAAAAATAAACCAGTATATAGAGTTTGTGATTTTTTGTGAATATGTCACACTAAAGCATTTCAACATCTTGGATCTATCACCTGAGACGAGGCTAGAGCTGATACCTACATAGTGCCTGCCTTCAACTATGGTGATAGAACAAATTTTTTAGGCCTAGGAAAAAACTTTCATCTCACTAATTAAAACTAATTAAAAAACTCACTCCCTAATTTAATTAATTTTGTGCCTGCTATCCATCGAAATAAGTATTAAAAGAAATTGAAACTTTTAATCTTTTTTTAAACTTCAGCTTGTAAGTCAACTTCTAGCGCTTTCGTATATTTTAAATACGGGAAACGAATCATTTCGATCCAATAGTTGGCAAGGCAAATTCTGTTCCTTGGAAGCAATTGTATACCAAACGACACGTGCGCTTTTAAATAGACGTACAATATACACGTGACGTATAATATACAAAAGACGGCACGGGGGCAGCATGCAGCACGTGACGTATAATATACAAAAGACGGCACGGGGGCAGCATGCAGCACGTGACGTATAATATACAAAAGACTGCACGGAGGCAGCATGCAGCACGTGACGTATAATATACAGAAGAAGGCACGGAGGCAGCATACAGCACGTGTCTTCTTATCAGGCAATGATTCTGCGGTGATAAGGACCAATCGAGTTGCTTTCCTCATCCCAATCGTGATAAAAGATCTATACACAGCTACTGTTAGCAACTGTTAAACTGTTAATGATCTAATGAATATATCTGTTCATTCAAGCACTGAAATAATATGGTAATTTATGTAATTTATACAAGAATTTGTCCGAGTCTATTCTTGCATGCAGCTCAAACGGGCCTAGCACAAAATTCTTATTTTGTCGATTTTTATTTGATTGTGAGTTCGTGTGAAATTCTGGCATTGGAGAAAAATTGAACGTGCTTGATGCAGGTTACATGACAATTTATTTCGAAGAAAATTTCAGCAAGAATCGTACAGCAAAAAGACAGTGAAGAATGACTGAAAAGTTCCAGATTGCTCTGGTTTTCTCCGGACGGCTGGGGCCACGCAGGTGTCATCGAGCTGATAAAACTGAGGGGAACCCGCATACGATTTCAACTGTCGAAGGTAATTTATCACATCCGAGGTAATTTGGGCGTGTTCATGTGAGGAATTCATTGTATTCAGTGATGATGAATAGAGTCATGGGACAGTCCTCTTGAATAAAATGCTGGCAGGATTAGAGATGAGTTCTGACTATAGGACTGGAGCGTTGTTGTTCTAAGAGGCTCGGGGTAAAGCAATTTCTGTGGATAGTATTTTCTGGATATCGATTGGTGAATATAGGATGGTTTCAGTAGATTTATAATAATAACGAGACCTGGAAGTGGCCTGCGGATTGAAATGAAGCTCATTCGATGTTAAAGTTGCACAACTTTGTTCGTCAGTATGTTCCCCGACAATATTTCCAGTAGGAGAACAGTAATGAACAGAACTTACAGTTGCTGATGAACAGAACTTACAGTTGCTCCTTGACCGTCAAGGAGCTGTTTGGGACTGATTATTTGAAGACGTTATGTATTTTTCACGAATTTCCTTGTGACGAAGAGGAACAAAGCGTCTTTAATTAATTAAGAGGAAAAATGCTCTGATTAACTAAGAGATAAATAAAGATCACCTGTAGACCAGTTGCTCGGGGTGGGGGTGGGTGATGGTCGGCTTATGGTCGGCCAGCCGACGGTAGTCGTCGCTAGCGCTGACGTCGAGGTATCTGATGGCACGTACAAATAGCTTCATACAAAGCACGTACACTCAGAGGAATGAGTAAAACATTATCCAAATAGCGATGCAGTTTCTGCTTTCATTTAGATCATCCTGACCAAGCTCGGCGCGGCAAAAAAGCATATTAGTGATACGTAATAATTAATGGAAGTTGCTTCACCGAGGAGAGATACTGGGCGTGGACGTTAGTTCATAAGTAAGTTCATAAGTTAGTCCAAAAGTTAGTTCAAAAGTTAGTTCATAAATTAGTTCATAAGTTGGTTCATAAGTTAGTTCATAAGTTAGGAAATTTAGTTCATAAGTTAGTTCATAAGTTAGTTAATAAGTTAGTACATAAATTAGTTCATAAGTTAGTTCATAAGTTAGTTCATAAGTTAGTTCATTAGTTAGTTCATTAGTTATTTCATAAGTTAGTTCATAAGTTAGATCAGAGGTTAATTCATAAGTTAGTTTCTTTTGCTCCCTGCCGTGACTTATTGTCACCATTTCTGTAATTTGATTTGAAAAATGGTGTAGAACAATACATATAAAACCCACCACTTTATCTAGCACACGAAAAATGGTGTAGTACAATACACATAAAACCCACCACTTTATCTAGCACACGAAAATTCAGTCAAGTAGCCAGGTAGTAGTGTTATCAGGTACGGAGCTAGCGTTATCAGGTACGAAGCTAGCGTTATCAGGTACAAAGCTAGCGTTATCAGGTACTGAGCTAGCGTTATCAGGTACTGAGCTAGCGTTATCAGGGACTGAGCTAGCGTTATCAGATACAGAGCTAGCGTTATCAGGTACAAAGCTAGCGTTATCAGGGACTGAGCTAGCGTTATCAGGTACAGAGATGAGGATGATCCAGCGATATCAGCAACTCACCCGACGTTATCAGCAACTCACCCGACGTTATCAGCAACTCACCCGACGTTATCAGCAACTCACCCGGCGTTATCAGCAACTCAGCCCACGTTATCAGTAACTCACCCAGCTTTATCAGCAACTCACCCGACGTTATCAGCAACTCACCCGGCTTTATCAGCAACTCACCAAGCGTTATCAGCAGCTCACCCGGCGTTATCAGCAACTCACCCGGCGTTATCAGCAATTCACCAATCGTTATCAGTAACTCACCCAGCGTTATCAGCAACTCACCCAGCGTTATCAGCAACTCACCTGGCGTTATCAGCAACTCACCCGATGTTATCAGCAACTCACCCGGCGTTATCAGCAATTCACCAAGCGTTATCAGTAACTCACCCAGCGTTATAAACAACTCACCCGGCGTTATCAGGCAGCACATCGTTGATAAAGCTGTCCAATTGGCTGATATCAGGCGCGTCGGTGCCCAGGCTGCTGGACCACTCGCCGTCTGATAGGAATATAAAGAAATTAAAATAAAAATATAACAACTTGGTGAGTTGAAATTTCATTCATGGGTAATGAACATAAATATTAATGCGCTTCTACGATTACGATTGTAACGATTATCTCGACTTGAAGGGTCTGCCTAAATAATATACACGCGATTATTAATGGTAATGAACATTTTATAGGCATAGAACTTCAATTTAATCCGCTAAATAAATATGTTATTTCTGACCGCGGCATTAACGATTTTTTAATTCTGATTGAGACGAAACGCTGACAAGCTTTCAGGAAAGGAAGATATACGATCGGTGGAAGCACGCCGTGATAGAAGATCCCTACCATATGACAGCATTGCTTCTTATTATTAGTCTCTTTACATTAAATGTATTTCGGGGTATGGCACTATAATGTTCAAATTAGAGGGACAGAGCAGAAATCTGAATGCTTATTACTAACTTAATTCCTCAAGGTCAAGTGACAATTGAGGAGCGAATAATAACGAAACCTCGTTCTCGAATTGACAGTTTTTGTAGTTATTGGTTCTAGCAACACCATGCGCACTAAGTTCTGGCCGCTTGAGCAGTCGGCGCACTCGTAATGTGATGCTCAGACGCCCATGTAATTCAAACTACACGGAGAAGTTCT